AGGTGGGATTTGGGTAGTGCGACGTGATACAGCTCCTCGGAGAGAGTTTGGAAATGCAAAAAAAATGTACCAAATCACATCGTAAAACTCTGTTATCACGTAAAAGCGATAACCCCTTGTAAGTCTGATGTAACGTAACGTAGTCTTTCATAGAAAGCACTTCGATTTCACTAGCAAACAGTTTTCATCGAAAACAGTGATTCCAATATCGTATCCCTAAAACCGTAATAAAACCAAGAAATCCATCCACAACCGCCAGGCTGTTTTTCCGTGCAGCGCTGTCAGGTTACTGTAGGGGTCACATCATCGAGAGCCCTGGGGTCGCGCGGTGGGCCCCGGCAAGACGGGAATCCGGCTGAGCGGAATAGAGAGCGAGAGAGAGAGAGAGAGAGAGAGAGAGACAGATAGCAAGAAAAAAGGGCCGAGGGCGTACCATAGGGTCGATTTAGAGGGCCCGCCCGAGCCGAGGGGGGGAAGGCCACGATGGTCCCAAGACGAAGAGGGGGAGGATCAATCGGTCGATCCGGTCCTGGGGCATTCCCAGGTAAGCCGCAGAGCAAATATCGTCGTCTCAACCACCTTCCTTTCAACCAACCACCATTCCCAGAGATGGAGGTTGAGGGGGAGGTTGATCAGTCCTGCTCAAGGCTGTTTGAAGGAGGATATGGATCATGAACATGTAAGGTAAATTAAGTTGGAGGAGTGGAAAAGAAGGCTTATCTAGGAAAATTCTGAATTTTCCATTTAGTCGTGATTTTTCTTTACGACGACTGGGCTGCGCGTTAAGCAGCTTTATGCCTGAGCCTGAAAGCTCCAAAACCTAAGCCTAAGCGTACCTTAGGCAACAAATTATATCTGAAAACCAGCGCCCAAAACCCGCTTCGCGGGCCTTGGGCGCTGGAATTGGGCCTTTGCATGAAAAATTTGACTTTCCGATAGCTCGGGTCCTTCGGACCCCGTTCCCCCACCGACCACACATGCGCGTGCAAATTGCAAGAATGAGGAGATTTGTATTTTTTCACATTATGCAAATTAGCCCCAAAAATGAATAAAACCGGCTTTAACTTTGTAAACTTGTATTTTATCGAAATTCTGAAAACGCCATCGGAAAGAGGAGGGTCGATTCCCCCAAGTGACAAAGAATCAGCGCATTTTATACAGGGGAAGGCCCTTAAATCGGACCTCGAAAGTGACATCCACACACACACACACACACACACACAGAGATACACCCCAAAATTATATAAGGTAGGATGAGAAGCTTCATCGAATAGCACGCACTAATAGATAAAACAGCACTAAAACCGCAGATACGTCTATTAATAACGAATATCATAAACGTGAGGCGCCCGGAGTTCCCAGATGGCACCCCAGATGCAAGATGGCTGTGGCCTAGCAAGAAGAAGACGTCACTCCCACCCCAGACCCACCACCGCCTTCTCATACCCCCGCCCCTCTCAACAGTTCCTCCCACCAACACGATCCGCCAAAATGGCGCTAAAGGGACCGGCAAGATTATAAAAGTCGCTGATCATGCCTTTCGGTACTTATCTAATAGCGGGGGGGGATAAAATAACAGGGGGGTGATAGTAACTAACTGTATATTCCCAGTGCCATTCTTGCACCCATTTTCGCGTAATTCCCCCTTCTTTATCACCCCGGAAATAGACGGGCGGTACAGGAGGTACCCACCGTTCGAAGATATCTTTGGAAAAACAATAGATGAGGACAATGGCTGCCCGAGGAGCACCTGGAACTGTAAGGCACCGTGCTTTTCGCTAGTCAATATTTACTGATGTCGCCATGGGTCGAATGCTTTGCAGGGATTTTGTGAGGGAGCCAGAGTTTAAAGGGTCTGTGAAGGCAGAAAGAAGGATCTTTACTCTGGATCTAGATTAGACTTTAGATTTTGTCGTGTTCTCAACACGCAACACTTCAGTTTTTCTGCTGGGTGGTGGATTTTTGTTAAAAGAGAGAAATAATATCCATAGAATCGTGCTGTGTCCACTTCTTTAAAGGGCAAGGCATCGACACGGACATGCTATAGATTTAGCCGTGTCAGAGACAGGAGCTTTCCTTGAGGTAATGTATTACGCTATTTAAAAGGGTTGCGGCTGTGGAACGGGAAAATCCATAGAAAAGAAATATCCAATGGCATGCCTTTCACGTCCCTTTAATCGCTGAGATGAAGTAGCATTAATGACAGAGACCGACCACAATGCATTACTCATTACAGTACATTACATCCACAGACATGGCATTACATATCTACATCAATTAAAAAATCTCTAAATTTCCTAAATTCTCATCCCCATCTCCAAGGTAAACCCCACTTGAGAATCGATGACTAACCGTTTGCCAGCCGCATTTTTAGAACCTACCGAACGACCCACAACTCCCAACCCACCCCGAAGGTTTGTTTGCCGGTGAGGTGAACCGGTAGATGGAGAGACCGACACCCGGCAGACAGACAGTCAGAAGACCCGGGGGTGGCCGACCAGGGCCAGAAAAAGCGGTGCCAGGCACCCTCACCCCAACTCTACACCCAGCTAGAAAAAAACCTGATCCACCGTGCCCCCCACCCGCACCTCTTCATGTCGCTTCGCATCAAAGCCGAGAGCTCGCCCCCACCACCCCCCGTCCTCGTCTGGCCCTAGAATTCGGGCCCGGCTATCCGGATTGGCCCGGGTCCCCCCGTAGACAGGCCCTAGATTTGTCGAGACCGGAATCTTTGAAAAGTACTAGATAACTGGAATTTATGCTTTAAAATAAGGACTGAAAAGACATTCTTCTGATTTTTTTTTTTTCGGATACGAGCTACGCACAAGATCTTTCCTTTTCGTAACGGCGTTCTAATACCTTACGCAATAAAATTTCTAACCGGCAGTAAAATCCATAGTGGGTCTTTCCCAAGCCTCGACGGCCCTTTATTTCCTCGATAATTATGAGGAATTGTCTAACTTCAAATATCTAATTAATTACCAACCAAAACAATTAAAAACAAAAAGTGTACTTTGTAGATAATCCGGCCGCTCAAAAAAAATTTAAACTTAAATTTAAAGCGAATGTTTAATAGATGCCGCAGTTTTGCGCATAATTAGAATACGATCAACTCTAACTGTCATGCGTTTTCACACGGAAATTCCATTCCGGGAGTAGCCTATTGTGTGCAGAATTTTTTGCTGATTCCTAACATGTTTTTTTTTAAAATTGGCGATAGATTCGATTCCAAAAGCTACAGAGAAGAATATTAAATTCTACGCCAGATAAGCTAGATCTCGAGCCGAATTTCCAGGAGTTGTGAAACAGACCCTTATCAGCACGGCGGCACACAACAACCCTACAAAATAACCCAAAACCCTAGATGAAGCCCAAAATGGTAGACCGGCAAAGGGTGGCGGGTGAAGTGGTGCACAGGGTATAGAAGTGGAGCGGGGTCCACCCTATGGCCAAAGGGTGCTTGTACGAGGGGGAACGAGACGAAGAAGAGAGGTCGCTGCGGCTCTCGACTCTTCGTCCCGAGGTGGAGGCTCAACGTACCCCCCTAGGCTATGTTTGCTCAACCCCATATAGTCTCGCAGCTTCACCTGGCCAAAGCCACCCCCCTTCTAGGGCACAGTGCCCCTCCGACACGCCATCCGATACCGTGACTTTTCGGGCACCCGAAGCCTCCGACCCCCTCAACCTGCCAGACCATTGACAGCAACCCTCAGGGTTATATCGGATTTATGTCAAAAATAAAGCAGGGTTATTTATTTTATTAAAATAGAATCCGCTTCTAATCTACCTTTCCCACGGAAAATTTGGTAAAATTACACTAACTGTAACCTTCTTATGGCTGCGGTAGAATTTCGCAATTTTTGTTTTTATCGAAAGTAGTTTTGTTTCGAAATTTGTAACCCATCCTATTAAAAATTTACCCCAGGAAACGTTTTAGAAGGACTTCAAGTCCGAGTTTTGCGGCATTTGGGTACTTAAAAACAGTTGTAACTTTTTAACCAAAAAGGTACCGCAGCTTTTGAACCCGCCTTCGGAACAAGCGAAAAATTCTGCACAGCTGTGCTATCTCACGTACCGAAATCCCAACTCGACCATAGAAGGCTTACGGTAAGAATGAAAACACAAACAAAAGTACTCTTTAAGTTCTATTTTCCTATTCAAAGATCTCTAAAGCCTTTTAAAGTGCTAAAAAACCATAGAATTGACCAAAATCGACCATATTTAGCACCAAATTGCCCCGAATATTCGGAACCTTGGGTCGCTCCAACGCCCTATACTATAACCCCTGAGGTGATGGCAAAAATTGAACCCCGGGTGCTATATTACAGGGAATACAGTGCCCAAAATTAAAAGGAAGCTCAAAAACCCCGACAGGGTGAAACTCGCGCAATTCCTACAACACCGAAAATATCTCCATCGTCTCGGATTGAGTCACCACCCAATCCCACAAAGCAAAATGGGCCCCATCGGAAGGGAATGGCCTGGAACTGTCGATGACGTCATCCAGGTAAAGCGATTCCATCGGCTTCTTGTAAAGATTAGAATAGTTATCCCTAACACGATTTTCTGCATTTTAGCGAGGTCTTTGAGCTGATTATGTCTACCAGTTTTCTTCGGAATCTAACCACGCCTCGAATTTTAGAACGGCCCGAATCTGCTTCCAGCTTTACCCAAAACAACGAACAGTAGCACCCTTGACATTTCGACCAAAACACTTTTTTAGCTTCAGTTTCCTGCTGGAATACTTGCTGCCAGCCGGCTGCTGCCTATCCTGCGCCCCATCCACCGGGTCCCCGTCCCCTAAACACCTGCCTAAGTCTGCGCTCTGCCCAGGGCGATAAAGTAAAAGCATCTTCACTCTTTTAATTAATCCTTCTGGCTCATGAAGCATAAAATAAACTAAAACTAACTGGCTGGCCCGGTGGCGCCGTTTCAAAGAATTGTTTTCGAATACCCGTCCCGTAAAATTCTGATTTGCTCAATATAATTTTGCATTACAGATGCTGCGGCGGCTTCTCCCTCAAGACAATCTCAGGACAGCCGTTCGTCAGGTCTCTTCGAAATACCAGAAGCCAAAGCCCCGTTCCTACAAACGACGATGGTTCGAAGCAGCCGTTCAGCCCGTATTTCCACAAGAGCTCAAGTCGTGTACCCCGCCCGCACTGCTCCATCAGAGGAATGTGGAAAATAGTCGACAGTACATGGACTTTGAGGTATTTCGATGGTTTTATTTTGTTATCGTCTCTTAGGTAGCACTTGCGCAACATGTCAAAAACTGGATGCAGCGAGAACAATTCCGAGTGCTTGTCGTTTGCCAACAACTCCCTGTGCCAGGCCGCACTCTTTGGTTTGCGAAGAATCAGTGGCGGTTGAAGGGCATCGAGCACAAAGTCTACGGCAGCAAAATTATGAGAAAGGTAGTTATTACTATTGGGTGTAATAGGCATGTATTTTGGAACATAAACTCTGCAAGCCAGCTTCTCATTTCGTTGAATGCATTCTTATTTAGGTTTTCGAAGGCACGCCGCTGGATTCGCTCGACATCGCGTTTGCCGGGTCGACGTCATACTTGTTTGGAAAAGATTTCTCCACTCTGAAGCACGTTGTGGCCGAAACGGAGAAGCTAAATTGGATCGTTCCTCTGCTCTACTTCGCTGATGGAAAGATTTTGTCGGCGGCCGATGTCAAGGAGTTGGCGCAACTGGCCGACCTGGAGCACGTGCGAGCGCAGACGGTTTCTATCCTCACGCAGCCGGCTTCTTCATTAACCAACACTTTTGACCGGGTTGCGCGTCAAACCACCTTTACACTAGATAGCTATGAGCATGCCTTGAAAACCGAATGATTGTGATCTCTTTCTTTCATCGTTGTAACATGTATATTGCCTTGAATAAATGTTAGGCCAGTCAAAAAGTGAAAGAAACGCACGCGAATCGGAGATGTTCGCCGCCCCGGCGATGGTGCGGGCACTCTCAGCAACTCGATATGTTTCAGAAACAGGTTTATTCACAAAAAAATTTTTCCAATCACCGGTGCTTGACAAACAGGCCATCTAATAAGGAACGGATATGAGCAAGTATTAATCACACAAAAACACAATTAAGAATCAAGCCAAATACTGGTACTCGTCCGACTGTTCCGTGCGCTGTATGTACAATTTTTCGATGAGATCCTCGATGCTCTTCTTGATGAATTGAATGCTTGGGGGGAAACGCGCCCTCGTCTGGTTAATCACCTGAAACCTGATTGATCGAAAGGTTAGCCAAGGTACCTCCTGCACGAGTGCATTATGCTTCATGACCTTTCTGGTCTTCATGATGCGCACGATGGTACATTCCATATAATATTTCCGATCTTGAGCCACCTAAAAGCAGGTATTTAGAATCCGGAGCGAGAGTAACATACCGTCGCGGAAAAACTATCGGTCTCCACCTTCTCGGCGGGCTTGGTGAAATGTGGCGACGTCAATTTGAACTTGATGCGCTTTGAGGTAAAGGTAAAGTTGAGCGAGAGCACGGCACCAGGCTGCATCTCGCTTCCCATCGAATCGTCGGGAGCCTAAAGCATGCGAACGACTGGCCAAAATTTACCTGCTCAATGAGGGCGATTCCAGATTCTTGAATACACAACAGATTTTTGTCGAACAAATCATCTTTCAACCCCGTCAGACTCGAACATTGGGAGGTCGGGATCGAATCACGCTCCATCAAAGTGAATAGAATCGCAGCCTGATGGGCGCTCATGGAGACCACGTAGGCTTTGTCGAGGTAGTTGAGACGAATATCGGCTAAAATAAGAGGGTTTCAGAATTGATAAATTCACTTACCATGAGAAAGATTATAAAGCCACGACAGCTTTCGACCATTATGCGAGCCAAGGTAAAATTGTTCAAATTCGTTCATCATGGGCGTGAAAGTACGAGGCAGGGTAAACTTGCGCTCCTGAAAAACGGACGCTGTTTAACAAAAGCTCCAAAGCCGCAAGTTTTCTCCATAGACCTCTTCTTAAAAACTACCTCCTTGCTGGTATCCTTCTCATCAATAGGCTGAGGCAGAGATAGCGGCCAAGCCGCAGCTCCGAGCACCATCGGTTGGAACGGCCAGGCTTCCTGACCCGGAAATTTCTCGGCAACGTGCTAAGTAGAGCGTTAAAACAAAAAAACAATAATGAAAATACCGCATCGAATTTCGCGGCCATCTCCTTGCTCAATCCAATATCGGTGAACATCCGAGAAAGCTTAGAGGTGAATTCGTAGCCACAAGCTTGCTAAATATTCCTCACTTTACAATTAAGGCATTAATCTACCTTCAATTTGTTAATCATTAGCTCTTCCGAATCCATCGCAATTGAGGTCGACATGATCAGCCGGTTAGCTAGCATTTTTGAGTAAAACTAAATAACATGGTGCCGCAGAGGATATATGCAAACCTTTTGGAACATATCCTTGTCCTCAAGGTAGCGGAACAAAATTATGGCCTCATCGAGTTTCTTTTCGATATCATATTCGCTCAGCCCTTTGCCAGTTTTTCGCAGCAGGTTGTCGGTGAAGCGGGCCAGCTGGAAAAAAAGCGTACAACATGCACAAAACGGATATCCCTAACAATTGCTTATGGAAATAAAGAACGACTCACCCGTTCAGGAGCCTTGGAGGGGAGACGAGGATCTTCCCTCGAGTTCACGATTGATTGCAAGGCCTAGAAAAAGACATGGGCTACCAGAATCACTAACCTTGTCAAAGGCGCTGGTGAATTCTCCATCGCTCGAAAAGAGTTTCTTCATTTCGCCGTATTTTGTATACACCTAAACGATACGAGATTATAAGTGCATCTTATAAAGAACCTGAATAACGTGGCTGACGAACTGAGCAGGAACATTGTCCCCATTCAATTTGGAGAGGGCAGCTAAGCCTTTCGCCTTGACATGATTCTCGAACTCTTTCGTCATCACTTGGATTCCAGCCGAAATCGGCTTCAGTAAGATGTACATGTTTCGAAGATCTAAAAAGGAAGTTAAATTAGGGCATTTCAGGGTCAGTGTGGTAAAATACGGTTTAGAAGTTTAGAAGCTTGCCAGTTTCGTTTTCGGTATCAATCATTTCATGGCAAGCCGACTCCAGCCAAGGTTTGTGTTTATTGATCAGCACCTCTTGGCATAAAGACATCACCTAAAAGTTCGGTTTAGAAAAATGAAATTGAGTAACCTTTTCCACAGATTCTTCGTTGAGATAATAGTTGATGCGAACCCTTTCATCCTGCATAATTTGGATGATCTGGAAGGTAAGATGTTTAGAGGAGATTTCAAAGGAACTCGCCTCTGTCGGATCAACCCCGAAAGGAAAATATACTTATTAAAATGCTACAAAGATCACCTTTTCCATATACTTCGATGGGCTATATCGGGAGCAGAGCTCTTGAGCAACTTCATCATAATGGGCACGCGTCAGCTCCAGAAACCTATAACCACAAAAACTTAGAAACTCCTTACAATCCCTACGGCTCCTCGAAGACTGTCAGATAAAAAGGCGGATCTTGTAGCACATTCGGGAAAACCGAAGGACCGTTTCCAAAATCGCCGCGGCTGACCTGAAAACAAAATCAGGGATTTAAGGAGCGGGGGATACCTGATCGAATGAACAAATCACGCTGGAAATGATAGTCTTGTTCAAAGTAGTATTGCCATTACGATCGTCAGAAATCGCCTAAACAGGTTATCAACAGTATAAGCGAGCTAGTTAGTGAACCTGAAGCAGCAAATTCAGCAGACGATCCTTGATCGGAAGCAACAGCGTTTTCTTCCAGACAACTAGCCCCAGCTAAAAGATAATCAAGAGTCAAAGAAAAATGCATACATTTCCGATAGCAAGATACTGGTCCTGCACCGCCATACGGCGGTAGACACTTTCGGCGCCGGTACCTTGCTTACGCTCCTTCATGAACTGGTTGTTTAAGTACCTGAGGATCAATTTTGCATCCATAAGGGTAACCTACCGAAAAAGCATGTTCAAATAGCGAATCCCGTCGATGAAAACTATCCAGGCCTTGTGGTAAGCCTCAAGCAATAACGGATCCGCGACCTTATTGATTTTCTGAAAAACAAACTTTTTGAATAATGAAATTAAGAACCTCGTATTGGCGTTCGACTTCGGTAGTCACACAACGCTGAACAGCTTCGTACAACTGCCTACTGAAGGAAAACGGGATGGCGACACAGATTTCATAGACGTCCCTAAAACAAGACTATAAGCAGATGATTTGCAACTTGCGTGAAACTGTCGGTCCAAACGCGTTTGGGCACAGGCACCAAGTTGATGAGCTTGACAACAGTGGGCTCCAGCTGCTGCCAATGCTCTTCAAAATTGATGCGCTTTGGGCGCAGAGCATGATGAGGCATTGCCTGCAATATTCTATAGAACGCTGGAATATCAAAAGGCCTTGGGAGAAGCAAGATGAACTTTTTGAGAAACATCAAAACGTCCAAAGAAAAACTAGCGACGAATTAGTGAAGATTATATAATCGATTGCTCGAATTTAGCATGGCTCATGCGACCCCGCAACACCCGATCGAAAACAAGATATCTATAGGACTGTCCTGACGTTTTCACCGCCTTGAGTAGACATTAGCAACCAGAAAGGCGATGAAAATCTAACATGACACGACGGTTGACGCACATTATAGTGGCGTCAAGCCGAAAGGCCTGGAGCCGGGGGAGTGTAAGTTCCAACCGCCACATGCGCCCGTTTCCGACATCGCTCAAGAAAAATTGCAGTGCTGGCGGGATAGAATCCGATTAAGATGTTGCCAAAGTCAGAATCAAACGTTTATTTAATTTCAGATATGCAACAACAGTAAAAATCAATCAGAATCTAACGTAACTGTGGAGGCGCCGCTGTCGCTCTCGCTGTGCTTCTTGCTTGTTTTGGAGCGTTTCCGCTTGGCAGCCTTCGACTTTTTCTCTTTCTAAACATTCTTTTTAAAAACAAGAAAAACAGAATATACCTTCGCCTTCTTCTTCTTGTGCTTTGGCTTCCTGGACGAGTGGCTTCCCCCCAGATCCTCTTTCAAATATTTCAGCAAGGTATCGGCAGTTATAACTAAAAAAAGAGCGCATGATAGTTATCAAGAATCCCCCACCTGACGAGCTCGATGCTGCAGGCGGAAGGGCTGGGCCGATAGCTGTTGTCGGTTCGTCAACAGCAACGGTTGGCTTGACTGCCCGCTCTTCATCGGACTCATCACTTGAGACAGGAGCAACACCCGGAATTTTAACGTTCTTCGCGAGCAGGTGATACTTTTTTGCGTGAAGACGGGCTCTAAAAACAAGAAATATATAGAACGAGGAACCTTTGGTCACATCTTTCCATCGGAAAACCACAAACCTTCGCTCTTTTTCTTCGGTACGTCGACGTTGAGCTTCTGCTATTTGACGTTCTTCCTCCTCATCGATCTTCTCAGATTCGTCAAAAATCGCCTCGAAAAGCTCCATCGGTGGTCTTTCAGTCCAAACCGCGTCCAGCTTCGGTTCCTCTATTTCTCCTTGCACTTCCTCCTAAACAGAATACGAAAAACGATGCAATAAAGACCTTGATGTCATCTTTGTCATGTGGAAGGGGCTCCCCGTGCCATTTCTGCTCCTTGAACGCTAGCTAAAAAATATGTTCAAGAAAATAGAAGCAATCACTTCATCATGTGTGTTCGGCAAGCCCAAATTAGCGATGGAATCTTTGGGCTTAGTAGATTTCTGCATATGCCAGCATCCATCAAACGTCGAACCAGGAAATGCATTTGGCACTAATAATGAATTTAGGCAGCGTAACCACAAAGTTACCATTGAATGCTTTTGCCAAGTTCTTGTTTGGCCTCCATTCATGAGTGGTCCTCGTCTTTGTCCCGAAAAGATCCATTTGAACAGCCGCCATTTTGTCCTTATCTATTCCAGCAAGCTAAAGGAATTTCATTGAAATGATCATTCGGTCACCTTTTCAGCCGGCCCCTTTTCAGAAACAAAACGGCTCTGCAAAATTTCTTGGAGAGGCATCGTCAGCGAGGTGTTGGCTAGTGGCTGAGTCCTGGATCGCACCTATGAATTGAAAAAGTACATTTGCCAAACTCTAAGGCGTACCTCTGGCAGCATCTCCCGCTCCTTCTCGGAAAGCTGCGCTTCAAAATCTTTTTTCTCAGCCTCCCATTCCCACACACTCATATCAGTCGGTTTGGGATAAGGTAGACCTAAAATGGGATGATGGCGCGGATACAAATTACCTCGCTTAGTGTAAAGCAAAAACTCCTTGAAACGTGCATACTTCATCGGCTCATCAAGAAACACAGGGCGCCAACAGAACGGGATGATACCCTAAAGCAGTATGAAATTAACAAAAGTTTAAACTCACGTCATCAGGTGCTGGAGGTTCGTGCCAACGGCTAACTCGTGTTCCACGGGCGCGAGCACGGTCTTCTTTCTTCATAGCCTCGAAATTTTTCGTCCTTTCCTCGCCAAGGATCCTAAACCCAGATCCCAGAATCTGATAAAAGAAATATGCCGTACCTAGCTCGGATTTCCGGATTCATGCGCTGAATAGATTCTTGCACTTGGTTCGGCAATTTGGATTGGTCCAAGGCGAATGGCTTATGCTCCGGCTTGAAGTTGGGTGGAAGTTGTGGTGGCGGATAGAATTTTCTAGGGGGCACCCGGCCGACGGGAGGCGTGAAGTGGGTGTCAACCTAAAAACAAGTTATTTACCATATAGTGTTCTAACGTGGGCAGCTTGTGGTGCTTTTCCCGGCACATCCAAAGCGAAGTCGTACTGGGAAAGATCAAAAGAAGTGTAGATGTTGTCATCTTCATCTTCGAAAGCGCCCACGCCGAACGCCTAAAAGAAGATACCCAGCATAACATTAAAACTGACCTGGCCCTTGATGCCTCTACCTTTTGAAGCTCCTTTGTAGGCGGTTTCACGGAAACCAGAAGTCTGGTCAAGAACGGAGGTTGATTGAAGCCCTTTGTACCCGATGCCATGAACACCTAAACACCTCATAATGATTGTATCGTAAGAAAGCTGCACCTTCCACGGGCTTCATGATTTTAACAAAGCAATCATCAGCAGAAAGTTCGAATCCCCCTGCCCAACGATCAATCTCATTCCTGTCCCATTCGTCCGTTCCTAAAACATATTAACATTCGCAAAATCGCAGTTACCCCGCTGAGCCTTTTCCCGAGCGGTTAACAAGCCGACGCCACGCCCTTGGCGCCATCCCATCTCTCGCAACATCGTTATGCCGATCGTGTCACTAAACAAGATGTCTGATTAGAACGTGATTCAAACCTTGAAGGCCGGATCATGTCCTCGACAAGACCAGCTAAACCCGAAACGGCTCCTCCATCATGTTCCCACGCCAAGCTAAACAAAGTAATTTAGTATGGAAGCGGCCAATACCGTTTTCGATTCGAATCTTCTTTCTGGAAGTTCTCAGAACGCTTGATTTGCCGAGAAGAAATCCCGAACTCGCCCAAGTCCTGCAAAATTAACAGTGCTTAATGACGAAAATGTTACCTCAGAATCCATGAAATCTTCAGGTTTCTGCTTGAAACGATCCTGGCGCTCATCTCTTGTTGATTTGAAGGCTTGTGGATAGAAGCCTTTCTTCGACCCAACTGTGTTGAAGAAGCCAGCAGAGAAGCCGCCAGTGAAGGCGCCATGGAATCTGAATCCGAACTTTAATAAAGCTAGCTCAAAACCTCCTTCTCCCTTTCTCGTCGGTGGCCACTTGATCGTAAACAGTTGCAGGCTTCTTGAAGACATGGTCCTCTAAAAACACAGAATAGTTGTTGACAAGGAACATACTTTCGGATTCATCAAGCTCATCGTATTCAGTTCCAAACGGGGCTAAGCCACGCTGGTTCATTAGAACCCTAAAAATACTAATTAGAAATGAAAGTCAGTAAGAAAGCGGATAAAGAAAGATAACAAGAAAGAAACGAATAAAAGGCTCAAATCGCGGGGACGATAAATTGGTTTCGCGAGAAAAGTGAAATCGGGGGAATTCGCTACGCGTTACAACAATCAACACTGGGGGTAGCGCGCCTACGGTAGGGTACACCAAATAAAATCTGGAAACGGCTACAATCACGCGATGGGCTTTCTTGTAAATCTAAAACATCGATCTATTTTGAAATGCTTGTAAATTATTCATTGTAACTTTCAACATTCATTCAAACTTTCCTTTCAAGTTTTGGTGTGTGATAAGGGCTTGTGAACACTCCTTTTGGTTTATTACTGACGTGAAGGCTTTCTTTAGAAATATCCTAAACATCAACATGATGTTTGCAGCTGCATTCTGACATATGCGTGGCGTCAACACCCTACGAAATGTTTATTCAAAGCTTCTAATAATGACAACGTAATGTTCGAACCGTGTACAACAATGAGGGGGTACTAATTGACTACTTGTTGACTTTTTCAAAGTATTCTTTGCTGTCGGACGGCTTGATAGTGGGAGAATCCTCCTTCCAGTCGGCTGGGCAGACCTAATGAAAGGGGTTTTTAGAAATAAGAGTATCACCTCTCCGTGCTTCTCGACATGTTGGAAGGCCTTGATGACACGCAACGTCTCGTCGACCGAACGGCCCACCTAATAGCTTTCAGAAAAAGTTGGAGCCATTACCGGAAGATCGTTGCACGTGACTGAACGGATATTTCCTTTCGGATCAGCGATGAAGAGGCCGCGGTAAGAGAGTCCGGATTCCTAAAGGGTTTTTCCTACGATTTTGATTAGGCCTGCCTCATCGAGGACACCGAAGGAGCGAGCGATAGTCTTGGTGAAATCCGAGAGAATCGGAATGTTCATCTCCCCTAAGCCACCTTCCTAAATAAGGCTACTTTTCTCAATGCCTTTCTTACGCGGCGCGGGGTTTGTGTCCAAGCCAGGTGTGAGAAGTGCGAGTCGCATGAGCAAGCGACGACCTAGAAATATGACTAGTATTTGAATGTTATTACCTGGACTCCAAGCTTTTTGAACTCCTCGACGCGATCGGAGAAAGCAATGATTTCCGTTGGGCATACAAACGTGAAATCTAGAGGGTAGAAGAAGAAGACCAGCCATTTGCCCTCATAGTCCTTCAGTTTAATAGGCTGAAGGGGATTTTATCACAAATTAAGCAGCCACTGACCTTGAATTCACCATCAACGACAGCAGTTCCCTTGAAGTCGGGCACCTAGAAGGGCTTGTTCTTAGTTCTTTTGGTTGTTTACCTTGTCCTTGGGGCCGAGGGGACGAGGACAATGATGAGCCTGGACCGATGTTGTAGAGATCAGCCTCGAGGCATTGAGCAGGGCAGGCGATAGCTTGAAAATTCGCGACACAGAACCCAACATCTGTAATTTTTGCATTCTAAAGGGTTTGAAAGGATGTGGTGAGTTTGTTTTGAACAGATGAATTCCGGAATGGGCACCAGCTATTCGAATTGGATCGCGTAAATGTGGGCTCAAAGGGTTGCGCCCCGTCCTGCTGGTTGTGACTGGCAATAAACACTACGCCCGTTTGCAAAGGACACTGACCAACATGCGGGTTTCAAGTATAGTCATCTTGGCCACACCGGCTGTCAGTACCTTATTTCCCCTGCAAAGATTTGTCCCCTCAACGATACTTTGCAACAGATTATCTTATTAATCTGAATTTCCCGTTTTAGCACTGTTTCGTCTCTTCCAACGCCGTCTTCTCGCCCCACTTGGCCGTAGAATGGCCGGAAAGATGGACCACCCTGAAGTAGCGATGAGACAACTTGGTGCGGACGACCCATCAAAAGTGTCGGACGAAGACTGGAAGAAAGTGTTGTCCCCAAGAGCCTACGATGTTGCTCGCAACGCCGCCACCGAGCCAGCCGGATCCGGAATGTACGACAAATTCTTCGAGAAGGGAAGATATATCTGCATTTGCTGTGGCTCGGAGCTCTTCAATTCGGATTCAAAGTTCTGGGCTGGCTGCGGATGGCCTGCATTCTCCAAATCCGTTGACAAAGATCTGAACATCAAGCGCATTCCGGACAACAGCCACGGTATGGAGCGAACGGAAGTACGATGCAAGAACTGCGATGCTCACCTTGGTCATGTTTTCGACGATGGACCGAAGGATACCGGGGAACGTTACTGCATCAATTCGGTCACAATGAAATTCGAGCCACAGCAGTAATCCAGCCCAGACGAGAAAATTTACGACTACCATTTGAACTAGGGGATTGTAAAAATTGTTGTCTTGGGTTAGACTATGGCCAGGATTTCGTACGAATTGCCAGTGAATTAAATTTAATGCGCGAGTAAATGATTTTACATTTTGATATGTGCATATGAATAGTGCACGGCAACTCCAAGCGGCGATTACGACATATAAATGCAGGGCTCTGAACCGGCAAAAATACTAAGGGAAAAAAGTTTTGAACGCTTATAACTTATTATCTTCGTTCTGGCTTCAAAAAGTTAATTGCACGATTGTAGCACGCTTTATCGAATGACGCTAAGCACGAAAGAAGCTGATATTAGAACCCCCTAACTAAAGCGGAAGTTGGCATTTTTAGCAAGAGTTTGGTTTAGAGCAGCGTATACAGCAGCGTCGTGTAGCCCTTTTCCGGCGAAAGTTGCCCAGGTTGTCAAAGCCGCCCATACCATGGGATGGAGTTGCCGTGAGTGGGGAACTAGGAAAATCCTCGCCTCTGTCGATCTATTTGTGCTTTGGACCCCTCTGGTTCTCTTTTGTTTTTTGTTCTATGCCATTTCCGAATAAACATTTCCATTACAGGATGACCGAGGTTTTGGCGCAGCTGCTGGAAATGGGCTTTCCCGAGGAACGCGCGAAGAAGGCGGTCAGTTTTTGCATCTTCTAATATTTTCGTTATATTTTTCTTCAAATCATGATTTAATTCTAACTTTAGTTGTCTGAAACCGGCGGATCGGTTGAAGCGGCTATGGAATGGCTGATCAATCACGAGGAAGATCAGGGAACCGGCACTTCCGAAGACACTGGCGCGCAAGAGGCGCAGCAAGATGTTACTGCGTCTAGTTTCAAATGCGACGAGTAAGTTAGCCGAGTCTTTCCCTTTCGAAATGTCTTCTTACAGTTGCGGCAAGCTTCTTCGCGACCAGGATGCAGTTATGTTCCACGCCGGCAAGACGAACCATGAGAATTTCTCTGAAAGCACTGAGGTATCAAATTTAATCTTTTTCCATTGAACTTTGTTTAGGAACTGAAGCCGTTGACGGCCGAGGAGCGTGCTACCAAAGCAGCCGAGCTTCGTGAGAAGCTCGCCGAAGTCCGCAAGATCAAAGTTGAAAAGGAGCGAGAGGAGCAGGTAGATAACTTTTTCGTCTTCTTGTATGCTTCAATAGGTCGCCAAAGAAAAACGGCGTCGTGAAGAGGGCAAGCTGATGCTTGAGCGTCGGGAGCAGCAGAAGGTGAGTGAAGGCAAACTGCTTCATTACTTTCGTTTAGGAAAACGAGCTGCGTCAGATTGCTGCCGACCGGCGTCGCGAGAAGCTGGAGGATGCCGCCGCGAAGCAGCGCATTTTGGATCAGATTAAAGCGGATAAGGTATGTACCGATATTTTTCAAAAATACTTCCTTATTTAGGAGGCGCGTAAGGCCCGTGAGCAGGGCACGTCGGTTCCGGAACCGACCAAGCCAATTCATTCGGTTGCCCCAACGCCGAAGGTGGATTATCAGCATGCTAACCTTCAGGTCCGTATAGTCCTTTTCAAGTAACAACGTGATAGTTCTTTTAGATTCGCCTGTTTAGCGGTGAGGCTGTCCGCCATACGTTCGAAGCCAAGGCCACAATTAAAGACGTGTATGAATGGATCAAGGCCAACCATAACCAGGTGTGTAGCATGACCTTTCCTCAATTTTCGGTTTTTAGGACGGTACCCCATTCCATTTGATGACAACGTTCCCTCGCAAACGACTTGATGGCGCTGATGATTTCAATGCGACCTTGGAATCTTTGGGTAAGCCAATTTTTATTGCGTTATTATATCCCTTGCTTCTTCAGGACTTGTGCCCTCTGCCGTCCTGATCATGTCCCGAAACTTAAGCGCATGCCAATAAATGTGTTAATGACTGTATTCGAATTGCCGGTATGTACATTTTGCCAATCATTTCTTCTGGTGATAGCCTGTTGATGTGAAACGTTTAACAATAAATGAATCTTTATTGGATCGAAGGCACCTGAAGCTTATCCAGTCATTGATAATAATATTCGATTTGAGCACACATAGCTGATATATATCGACGACTTTTGGAACCAACACGATATAATGGCTTTCAAAAGTAAAGTACAGAGAGCGGCGAGCTTGAAACGGTATCCTAAAGCTATGATAATGTATTTTGGGGACCCATTCCGAAAAACTCGACTAGATGAATTAGAAAGAAATATATGGCCTATTCGCAAATAATTTAAGATTGGAGAAGTTGATCTTCGTACTGCTTGACGAAACATTCTCCAACCGGGAAGAACTCCCAGTCTCGATTGTCGTATTTCTCGCGTACGTAGGTCTCCTGACCCGTGTACTCCGTTTCATCCTTATTCACAAGATGTTGTAGGAAGAACCTGAATCATTGATTTGTCAAGGCATCGTTTAGTTTCGTGCTTGACAATATGTTTTCAAAACCCACAGGTAGTTTGCGAAGTTGTGCTCTTTAGTAGTGTGAATTTCGAAGCCTCTTGGCATTCTATCAAATGTTTCCTGAAATAGTTTCATAGTTGGGGGCTTTTGTGATTAGGCTCACTTTTCCGATGTCACAGATGAAGCAGGAAGACTCCAGCTTTTCGGTAGCTGATTCTTGTTGATCACGAAGTTCTCCGAAAGCGTCGATGATCAAACCTACAATTTTTTAGATATTTTAGCCTTTGTAGAAATTACATACCCTGCATGATGGCAAGCAGAATGACGATAACGAAGAAGAAGAACGAAATGTCGTAAAACATTCTTGCGTATTCCAGGTCATCGCCGTAAGGTGATTCCAATTCGTCTCCAATACCACCACCGGCACGCACACCAGCGTAGAAATGGTAAATGAAGCACTAGAGCCGTTGGTTTACAAATCTTAGTTTCTAAACCCACCGTAAGCATATTGTGACACTTTCGATCTGGTTCTTCCCCTTCTTCTCCCTCTTGTACATAAAATTTGCGGAAGAAATTGAAGGCGATAACGGTATATAAATACACAACCACCAACGTCATCATGATGGTAAGGATGAGCTGAAATGAGGGAAATGTTTTGTAGTTCTTTCTTCAATTACCTGTTGCAAATTGTGGGTGACGGACTGTAAGATGGCTTTTAACATAGGGAAGGAGAGCACGACGTCGATCAGATGGAATGCGTAGAAGAATGGCGAGGAAAAGACGCCAAATGCTGAAAGGCGAGTCTCGTTATAACTGGGCGTCACCCACCTGAGCATAGCAAATATCCGACCCTGTACAAGAATTGACCGTTCGTCAAGATGACGCCAATCCACAACCAGCAGGTGTATCTGTAACTTGGTGAACGAAATATTTTTCTAATTACCTGTAGTCAAATGAAGTATCTGACGCTGGCTTATCCTCGCCCAAGATGGCATCCAGGGTCTCCTCGTCCACCTAGGTAATTTAATCATTTCCTAAGTGCAGGGTTTTCCAAACCTGATCTCCGTATTTTTGTCGCGTTTTCCGACGTACAAATTTGTCCCAATATTTCATCGGGAACGATTTTGACGAAATGACAATGCGATCCAAATACCAGGTTAGCAGGGATACAACCTAAACCAATTTTTTGTTTATATCTTAACACGAAAAGCTTTCCAAAATTGTTCTCTATTTTTAGCACCTACCCCCATATCTTCGTTATCCTCCTCCGTAATCCAACAACCATCAAACATCAGCTTTCTAGCCACCTCCTTCTCGCGCTTGAAAGTGATGAGCGGGATTTTCAGCTGATAGAAAGAGACGAGCAGCGCGAATGAGGCAGCCAGATGAAGCACGCTGATCCAATAAAGCAGCAGAGATAGAATATATCCCTCCACTCCATATTCCACATATGGGACTGTAACACCGCTGATGTAGATTGTCTCGGTGCTGTCCTCATCATCATCACTTCCATCCGTAGTCCCTGCATCCGATTGCATGATGTCGACACGATGGAATAGCAGGATCACATTGATGATGAAGGCCAGGCCGAGCGTCAACTTTTCGATCATCTAAAAATGGTTTGTATGTAGAGAATTGGTTTATTGCCTACCTTGAAGTTTCTGGCGAGCATATTGAGGAGAGAGCCCCGGCTACGGCCCGGGTTGATCTCGGCAATTTTTGGTTCATAAGCACCATCAGCTGGATGCGGCCCATAGGCAGCTTCCATCTGCTGTGCTGCAGCTCCTCCACTGATCGACTCATAGACACTTGGTGCCTTGCTGGGGGCCCTGGTTTGTGCATGTGGATGGGGATCGGGCGGGACATCCGCTTGTGCTTCTTCACTTTCAGGTATATCATCGGGTGATGGGTCAGGCGGTGGTGATCGCTCGACATGGATCACATTCTCCGCATTCAGCCCAAACATGTCGACACCGGTATGTGAATGGTGGAATTCGGGGAAGACATGTGGTGTGAATGGCTGGTGAGGTGAGCTGGAAAATGAATGTTACGTTTTTCCAGTTACCAAAACTTACCCAGTATCAGACGGTGGCAGCGCGTTTTGTTCGGCCTCCTCGTCCTTCTCAGCTGGCGACGTCAAGAAGTACGCAAAGCGGAACAAGGTCAGCGCTAGTAGCCATCCCATCCATAATATTCCTTTGCCAACTCGTAGCACCGTCATGAACAGCGCCACGATCATCTGCATCCACGTCATTTGACGCAGTTTTGACGTCCATTGCCGTGCCGTTTTCTGCATGTTCTCTGGCTTCAGCGCATTCGCTGCTGAGAGGCCGACTCGGTAGCCCTGCTTGAACGTCTCCGAGATTTGCCTGAAATTTTTCTCGCCATTTTTTTCTTCTGGTTTTTACTCACTCTCCGGTGGAAGTTTGTTGCAGAAAGTAGTCGCGCTGTTTCAAGGCGCGCTCCATTTTGGAGTTGCCATCACCGCTTGAAATCTAAAAACAGCGTTGGTTATTTTACCATCAAAATGTGCCATATTTCTCTAAAATTCTTGCCTCGGCAGCATGTTGCATTTCGAAGATGGTGTCCTCGCAGAAATTGATAAAGGCCTCCAATTTGCCCTGATCTCCACCATCATCTTGAAGCACGTTGAATAGGAATTGATTCTTTGAATCCCTAAAAATGTGAATAATTCCTGATATTTTCAAGGCCAGTAGTTTATTGTTTGTTTTTTAACATACCTAATTTGCTGTTTGCCCCACTGCTCGAGCCAGCTTTCCTGGATTTCGAAATAGATCTTCTCAACCCGTTTTGACGATCCCATAATTTCGATTCGGCCGAGGAACGGATCGAAATATTCGAGCAGGGTCTGCGCCTTTTCAATGATCTTTTCAAGGCGAGGATCATTTGTGATATGTTCTTTCAGGTTTGTTAGCAGAACAGCCAAATTGAAGCCGATATCACGAGCCGGGTTGTGGAATCGCTCGGTGAATTCCATGTAATCCACTTTTCCATCGTTGTTCACATCGGTGCACATCATCAAATAGGTGATATCTTCGACGGTGTACATTTTTTGTGATTCCATAGCCCGTTGGAATTCTTTGGGTGAGATCCAGCCATCGCGGTTCGTGTCGAAATCCTGTAAATGGTTTGTATGTTTTTGTGGGGTTTATCTATTCATGAAAATAGCTTCAAAAATTTTTAAAATGTAAAGTTATAAATCAAATTAAAATAAAAAGAAATTTTTTTTTTGTAATAATTTGGAAATTACTGATAACTTAATAGGAGGTATTTTGATAATGTTTCGGTACAGTAAAACTAGATTTTAACTAGAAAAACTATCTAAAAACTTTGAATTTTTTTCAAAATGTCGAAATTTTGCTTAAAAATGGTCATTTTTGGCGGGAAAATCGCTCTTTTGTATTTTTTAATTTGTTAATTAGAATTTGTTTAGTTTTTAGGCATAGTAAGAACCCATTTAGAAACGCTTGCGCTATTTATATTTCAAAATTGGGTCCCTAAGCAAAAAATCTTCCCCTCCCCGATAATGCAAAAGAACCAGTTTATACTCACTTGGAAGGCCTGACTTGTCGTTAGATCCTTCAATTTTAGGAACATATCCGAGAATTTGAGAATTTTCTCGACACTCGGCTGTGATTCCACAAGTGCATCCACCATTTGTTTTCCGATCGGCCCGTTTAATACATTTCCTTCAAGCATGGACAGCATGAGGACGATCATGTCCTTCTGCAAGTTCAAGAATTCGCGGAGCAGCTCAAGCTGTGTCGAATTCTTGTACAGCTTCTCCATCATGTGGGCGAATAAGAAGAAGAATCCATTAATGGCATCCCATAATCTCGAGTTTGCCAGGGTCATCTGGTTGCCGACACAAGGTCCTTGGATGCTTTCTGTCAGAGTGTTGAAGACTTGGCTGCACACTTGAATGGCGCGCAGGAAGTATTCCTTGCCGCCCTCGTCGATCACCTGAAAATGGGGTGTATTGATACTCGAAAATTTATTATTATTTCTGATAAATGAATTTACCTCCTTGCTCGAATAATGCCAATAGAAGTCCATAACAGACTCTTGTAGCCGAAGAAGGTAATCCACAGTGCAGTTGATCAAATTGACGGAGGTGGTGTGGCCGGGCTGGGTGCGAAGATAGTTTTGGAAATCCAGATTGTGACCCTCGCAGGTCAATTGGAGGAATCGGAAGAGCGAGCATGTGAAGTCGGCATCATTCAGGTTCTGATTATCACCAGCAGCCAGCTCGGCACCCATTCCCAGACCTTCGGCTTTGATTTGTCGCTCGAACATCTCCAAGTTGAGCACCGAACACTTGTTCATTAGGCCGGCAATCGAGGTGAAAAAGCGGACATCTTTTTTAGCCTAAAATAATAGGAACTTGATATTTTTTGAAAATTAACCTGTAGGTATTCGATAAGGATCTTCTGAATATCCACGTTACCACCAGATAGTAGGTGAATACCGAGTTGCAGAGTATGGGCTACCATATCATTCGGTTCTCCGGTAGATGCCGATAGATACATAAGGCACATAATTGCCGCTCCTCTATCGGCCAATACAGCTTGTTCTGCTCGAAGTGCTTGAGCTGCCTCCTCTTTCTGGGCTTGATCTTGTTCACCCTCTTCATCTCCTTCTCCTTCATCATCTTCGATGTGTACACTCTTAGCCATCACATCGGCGAATCGAACGTAGAGTGCATCTTCGGCAATCGATTTTGCTTGGCTTTCCTCGCTGGTGGCTGCACGTTGGAAGCATCGGATTAGCTGCTTCAGTGGGTCGGGTTTTGAGCTGAAATAAATTTTTTATTGCTTTATACGTCTATCTTTTAAGCTTTTGAAAAAAATTAAGACTCACTCCTCCTTGCTTTCTTCGGTAATTACCACACCCTCGTCGGTGACCTCGATCTTGGGCGCTTCTTCGATTTCGATATCCTCCTAAAATCGAGTTACGCCACTATAATTTCAGATACGCAGATATCCTTTATCAACCGATCTTGTCCAGTATCTTCTTCGTCTAACCATAGATCCGAAAAGGCCGGCAGGAAAAAGTTGATTCCACGATGTCTAAAGTTAATTCCTCAATTCCAGCTACAAGGTATCAGTAGGAAATAGGAAATTAAATTAAGTTTTAGAGTTTCCGTCCCTTTAAAACCAAGCATCCAGGATAGATATTAGGACAGATCAGTCAGGTAGGAGTTGCTAAGATGAAATTGGATCAACTAACGGGTTCGGGAAACGGTAAGATTTTAACGATTTTTCGTGCGAGTTCCGATTAGCGCCTAAACACAGTGTCACTGTGCTTCTTTAAAAAGCTATTTAGGTAGCTATTCGGTGAAGTGGATCTCCTTCTCGAGCGTGCTATCTGTTTTTCACTGTCTCATCCCTTTAAAAAATGATAGTAATGAGATACCGGTCAACCCGATACAGATGTGAAGCTGTGATGAGTGAGATGGCCATCCGTTTGCGTTGTAGGGTGAGCACGCGTTTCCACTTGTCCTCCTTCTCCGTTCGAGAAGTCACCTACACACCCCGCGGATGATATCACGGCATCATTTCTAACTAGGCTCTTCTTGGCTCTGTTTCTTTTCTGGCTACGACACTTTCCAAAACACAGCCAATCGCCTCAAAAGTACGCGGCCATCCAGAATACACGTGGCAATTTGTGGAAAGCTGGGTGAAGAGGAGAGGCAAGAGGGCGGAAAAAAATCGACGCTTTTGAATTTTACCAAAATTTCTTGAAATGGCTTTATGCGTACTTTTTGGTACACAATTTTTGTTATACGTAACGGGAGAAATTTGAACTTTATAATATCCGTAAAAGCTTATCCCTCTTGCCCCATGGAAAGCAGAAAATTTGAAGGGAACGGGAATGGAAATGACTGGAATAGAATGAATGGTGCAGGTAGTGAGGTGATCCATGCGCATGCACTCATCCCAAAAAACAAAACCCACCGCTCCACACTGTAAAGAGGAACCATACGGAAACAGGCGACGACGGCCCGTTTCCGTTGCGTCGACACCATTTTCTTCCAAGCTTGAGAGGCCATCATTTGCGGGTGCTCCGTCTACAATTCACAAAGAAGTCACAAAGATACGCACACACGCACGCAGCTATTGTACAGGGGAATGTCTCGCATGTTTATTGTGTTCCTAAATCTAGGTAATTATCATCAAAAAGCAAATTTTTAGTTGAATTAGGAACACAACGAACCATCTCGAGAAATTCCCATTAGATACAGTCTGTTGCGAAACAATAGAGCCATCTATTTTCTCGCTATTGCCGCGGTTTTCGCTAATTTTTAACTAACTGCTGAAATCCTAAAATTTAATAACCAAATAACCTAAATAAATAATTAAAAAAACTTTAGTTTTTAAGCGCTATAAGACCTGGATACTAGGTTGACAAAAAATCAGCCAAAACCGAGACAATTTCCAAAAACAGGTAGCGCTACCGTTTTGAAACATACTGTAGTCATCAAAGTATAGTCCGAATATCACTAAAACCAGGGAAAATCCCCAGTTTGCATGCATATAGCCGATACAACATCCAACAGCCACCAAGGGAGGGATAGTATCACGGGGGATCCGAATTGAGAAAGCATTCCGCGACATTCCGTACGTACGACTATTTCGTATGCACCCCCATTCCCCCCCTTCACTCACTGTCGTGTCGAACAACTCGGCGAGCGCATCCGCTCTTCTCGGTCGGATCGTCCGCCGCCGCTCATACTATTTTTGGAAGTTATAAAAATTTTTAAACAACCTAGGGCCTCAGAATTTTTACTTTTTTGCTCGTTATACTTTGAAAACAGCTCTAAAAAAGCGTACTATACACCGCTCCACATAAATTTGTAGGCACCCCCAATTTTTTGCCTAAGGAAATCGCAGGTCATTATAGCGCTTTTACCAAAATTACCCAATACTAATTGGGGTTTGTGAAGCTGAAAAACTTATGAGATTTTCACGAAACCACCTCTGAAATTTAAAAAAATTATTTTTCTGAAAATCAGGTTTTGGCCGATCCACAAAAATATGTAGGCAGTACCATTTTTTCGCGATTTCCGGATTCAGCGTCATTTTTTCACCTCAAAAACCATCGGGGATGGTTGCTGGTGATGCTCTTGCTTGAGCAATTACTTTTTTCAAAACAGACACAGTAAGCTCGTGCTCCAAGCTCGAAAAATCATCGGATCAAAAAGTGGTCTGTGGACGAGGTCTTTTTAGCGGCGGTAACGACACTTTCGCAATTTTACCGTGCGGATGTGGTCCACAGAGGCCTTCCGACCAGAAGCAGATGCATCTCAAGCCTCAATTGCGAATTTAAAACGTAAAACTCCCTGAACTCTTTCTGGCCCTACCGTAGCCGGGGCCTAACTTGGGGCCAAATTCTCCTTCTGAAGTGACTTCGATCTGGAGCCAAGTCAGAACAGCGTCAGAAAGCGACTGTTCATCCGTAGGCCATGCATCGAGCTCGATTTTCAACAAAATCTAGCCGCTGTCGCCGGCAAGGCGCCGGAATCAGAATGTTTCAAAGAACGGGATCTCGGAAATCGCTTAAGGGGCAATACGCGCGCGAATAATGCTTCCAATTCATGCAAAATTGAAGCGCCTTTGCCATTCGCCGGATCCTGCGCTGCCAAAATCCCTTGAGCCTTTCAGCTCATGGATCCTGAGATGTGCATATTCCAGTACCCGGTTCAGTGGTGGCTTGGACCCGTCCCCGGTCGAACTCGATGAAAATCGTGCTCGATGCGTTACGTACGGAAGCGTACGGGTCATGTGATTAAGTTACAGCACAAACCGAGTTTGAAATCACTCGAAAAGAGGAATTTGACCTCAAGTTAGGCCCAGGCTACGGTAGGAACAGAAACAAGTTCAGGGAGTTTTACGTTTTAAATTCGCAATTGAGGCATGAGATGCATCTGCTTCTGGTCGGAAGGCCTCTGTGGATCACATCCGCACGGTAAAATTGCGAAAGTGTCGTTACCGCCGCTAAAAAGACCTCGTCCACAGACCACTTTTTGATCCGATGATTTTTCGAGCTTGGAGCACGAGCTTACTGTGTCTGTTTTGAAAAAAGTAATTGCTCAAGCAAGAGCATCACCAGCAACCATCCCCGATGGTTTTTGAGGTGAAAAAATGACGCTGAATCCGGAAATCGCGAAAAAATGGTACTGCCTACATATTTTTGTGGATCGGCCAAAACCTGATTTTCAGAAAAATAATTTTTTTAAATTTCAGAGGTGGTTTCGTGAAAATCTCATAAGTTTTTCAGCTTCACAAACCCCAATTAGTATTGGGCAATTTTGGTAAAAGCGCTATAATGACCTGCGATTTCCTTAGGCAAAAAATTGGGGGTGCCTACAAATTTATGTGGAGCGGTGTACTACCGACAAATACTACGGTATGGTGACGACGGGAGGGCACATTTTAGGCGGTGGAAAAACGGGGGCACACAACACCGTTCGGGCCACAATAAAATGCTAACCCGTCCGAAACGGCCACGGCGTCTGTCGTTCCGGCGGACGATCTGGAAATGAACGCTCACAAAAAAGAACATAGAGGACGGGACGCGGAAAAAAACCAGCTGCGGCGCTGACAAAGAATTGGTTTTTGGGACTGGACTAAAACAACAGTTCGGAATCGTTCTATGCACACTAAACAAGGAAAGAAAATGTTAATTGACATCTATGGCAGGTCAGGTAAAGGAAGACAAAAAAGGGCAATAACGCAACATGTACTGGGTAGTTTTTGCTCAGTGCTGAACGGCAAACTGCAATGAAACTAGTGGGAGGGCTGCAAATCGTTGTAAACAAAACTTGAGGCAGAGAGAGAGAGAGAGAGCGAGGGAGAGAGAGAATGAAGTAAAAACTTTAAAAATAGTAGCACAGAGAAGCCGCGTGTATTCCAGTAGCGCGTCTGAATGTTATGACGCACCGTGTGTAGGATGGCGGACACCTGGCCCATGTTGAAAATTTTTTCGACAACCGCATCGTGGGTCATCTCGTCCTTTCCGCGCATTTGGCTTTTACCAATTTTGCGGTACAGCGACAGTTGCCAAGCGTTCTTGTCCGTTGGATCGGTCTGTAATTAGTCGTCATTCCATTATCGTTAGTTTCACTCACCTTAACCGGGATATCCAGTAGACTCTTGATGAATTCCCTGATCTTATCTTCCGGTTCTTTCTGGATGAACTTCTCCTTGGACTGTTGCACGATGTCTAGCTCGCTAGAATTTATTCTTGACTGCTTGTAACAATGATTAGTACCGGCCTCCGAAGACGTTCAGCCCCACCGGAAGCAACCTTTTCAGGCAAGCGATCACAATCGAGTTCGCATGCTTGTCCTTTTTCACCTGAAAAGACTGGCTTCCCACTGCCCATATCCTTTTCTTTTTTTTCACGATACTTGGGACTACACAACTGTTTTTCAATTTACCGCCTGGCGTTGACTAGTTGTCCGCGTAATGTGGAGCTGAATAAACCCCCGCGTTAAGGCATCAAGCGGATGCAGTTACAGTACGGTAAAGAGAAATTTGGGCCGCTCACCTGGCCCTCGCGGCGCTTCTTTTTGCGCTCGGCGATGGCTGCCTTGCCCGTTTTCATTTCGCCACTTCCAAGCGCCTGGTCTTCTTCGAATTGGGACATGTAGTTCAGTTCTTCTCTCTGAAAATGGCGTACGGCGCTCTTGCTACTTGATACCTTGAAGTGTTGACTCTGACTCCAGATACGGAAGATCACTGCCACATTTTCATAAACACCATCAGTTTCCCATGACGGTTGTTTGAGCCAATGAGCTCTAAAATCTATTAGGAGGAATTGATTTGGTTACGAACCTGTGTAGATCCGTATATTTCATGAGCAACGGGAAGAAGGCATAGGTGTCACGGACGAGGCGAGCATTGTCTTCTGCCACAGTTCCCTCATCCGCATCGTCGGGATGTGTCCGCATATGCTCTTCGTCCTGAAAATATTTTTTAATATCTTTCCCTCTCTCTCGCACTCTCCCGCACTCTCTCGCTCTCTCTCGCTCGCTCTCGCTTTCTCGCTCTCTCTGTCTCTATCTCGCTCTCACTGTGTCTCTCTCGTTCTGTCGCTCTATCTCTCTCGCTCTCTCTGTCTCTCTCGCTCTCTCTGACGCTCTCTCACGCTCTCTCTCTCACTCTCCCTCTCTCTCTCTCACGCTCTCTCTCGCTCTCTCTGTCTCTCCCGCTCTGCCGCTCTCTCTGTCTCTCGCTCTCACTATTACTTTGTCCCTCCCCTCTCTCACGCTCTCACTCTCGTTCTTTCTCCGTTATGCTACCTACTTTATATGCTCGTTCGGCAATACGACGCAGACGTTCCGCAATTGGCAGCATGAACTCCTTGACCGGATCACATGTGACCATCTGGATAATCGGAACCGCGAAGAAGTTGACGCGTAGCAACCACGGCGCATTCTCCACTCCCACGTGCATCTTCATCATACGTAGAAGAGTTGTGAACACCCGATTTATGTGCTCCGAATTTACGGAAGTTATCGGAAGTGCATTCACATCTGCTGAGTCGCCCTTAGATCTCGCACCATCAGGTCCCAACTGCCACCAGTAGGCCAGGTAAGAGCACAGGAGGGGGAGATCAACGTCGAACACGTTTGGGCTTTCTGCGTAGGTGACCGAAGCGAGGGATACCTGAAAATGAGTCTATCAACCAAACCGTAAAGCCAACCTGCTCGACATCGTTGAGCATCTTATCGAGCTGTGGGATATGCGCGGAAAGGCTGTGCAACATCTCTTGCACCTGCACCGATTGGTCAGCAGATTTTGCCAAGACTGAGTGCTTGTTGTTCTTGTTGAAGTCGCCTTCAAGGAAGGCCACCGGGAAGCACGATGCGAAGGCGGAAAGGCATTGTCCAAGTCCCGGACGATGCTTATCAGTTTCGTAATGGATGCTTTTCCGTTGAGCAGCCGTTGCAGTTAGACCGGTGACCATGTAGAGACTGTCCAGGATCTTATAGCACGCTGCCTGGATATCGTCCAGTAGCAGATCTGTGCCAAAGTGATTCTTCGAAATGTGGTTGAACATAGTTGTCAGCACAGGAATGATCATCTGGTGGGCGAATTCGAGTGAGATCCAAGATTTCAAGTTTTCTCCCCGAAGCAGCGAGTATTGTCCGTTCTCCTTCAGTTCTTTGACAGCCGCAAACAGATCATCAGCGCTGTTGTTGAAGAAGGTGAGCAGCGACGTACGGACGATGTCGGAGTTCACTAAATTGTTGTGGATTGTTTGCCGGTTGGTTTCGGAACATACCTTTGACGAGTGTACGCAAATCCAATGCCTGCGTCAATCCCTGCAGGCATCGTACCGTAATCTTGGCCACAGATCCGAAAGCCCGATTTTTAATGCGCAACAACGCGGCAAGTCGGCAGAACAAATTGGCCACCATTTCTTTTTCCTACAAAACTAGTATGATCCAAAAATAGGTCAAAATACCTTTGTGGAAGCGGTGCCGGTCTGGACCATAGAACTACCCTCCAAGAAGTATCCCTTATGTGCATTGAAATATGCGTGCATCATCGGCAAGACGACCTTTTCGAAGAACTTGACATCTTGACCTTCTTTTCGGAATGAGTTCCGCCGAGTCAACTCTTGACTGGGCTTCACCGACTTCATCTTGACAGAAGCCTGCTCGAGGTATTGGAGTAGCTTTTCGAGCAGGTTATAGGCAAAGCGTTTCTCGACGGTTCCACTGCGTTCCCCTTCCATTTTGTGGGAAGCTTGGTGGCTGTCTCGTTTTTCGACCTTCTGCACGTGGTAGCCGTGGTATTGCCAGAACTTCAGAATCTCTGCCGCACGGAATCTAAATAGATTGTAAATATACCAATGAGCTCAGGAGTTCCTACCTATCCTTGCGGCGCTCCGAATCAGTGAGCAGATCCCAGGGTACAAGGGCTGTTGGCATATTTCCTCCCTTGGCATTCAGGTCGTTGAGGACCTTTCTGGCCCAAACGAGATGGGACTGTTCAGCCATTTTCTCAGCGACAGTTGTCATATCCTTCTCAAGGGTCATGCTACTGAGATCAACCGGCTTAGGGGCGAAGTCAGAGGCGCAGGTGCCTGAAGGATTGTGGGCGTTTGATGCTCGGTCCGCCGCATCAGGATCAGCCATCTGGATCTCGTAGCCCCACGCCAGTAGGGATCTGAATATAATTTCTATGGTATTTAGTTGATGGTTTCGAACCTGATCAATTCGGCGCAGCGGTCCTTGTAGAAGCCTTTTTCAAAATCACGTAGTTGAGCGAAAGGCTTCAATCGAGGATGCGTTTGGTTGGGCCGAGAGTACAACTCGTCGTAGGCCCATCCTTTTTCGAGCTTTCGACTTGCCCAGCTATCGTGGAAGTGCTCTGCGAATTTGGTCACCTAGATAAATTAAAATGTTAAGGGATACAATGTTTAATAACTAACCATTGTATTCAACTCGTTGCCCAATTCGTGTCGACTGAGGTCGGTGGGTCTCGGGACCCAGGTTCCCTCATCCTCCCCAGCAAACAGTTTCTGATCCTCGATCGATTGGGTCAGGGCGTAATCGGGAGAAATGGCCGATCCGATTGCTGTCAAACATGGCAAGGCTTTGCCAAACAGCTCCGGATTGTATGGCTTTGTCGCCAACGAATCAAAAATTGAGTCAAACAACAGCATGGAGAGCCGCTTCTCGGTCTCAGTAGCGACACCTGTGGGGGTGAGGTATTTGGACGTAATAAGTTTTAACTACCGTATAGATTGCCGTTTCCGTAGTACTTTCCGCATCGTTCGTAGTGCAGGGTCATCAGCTGAAAGAGAGTAAATTCACGGTTTTCAAAAGCCTGAAGCTACAGCTGAAGAAGCAAGCACCTACCCGGAGCGGCACAAGGACATATTCATGCATTTGCTTGATATCGATGATGACTTTTCTCAAGAGCTTGATCATCATCACCGGTGGCAGCTCCTTGGTGATGGCCACCAGGAAGTCGGATACAGCTTCTCGTTGATTTTTGGTCAACGACTTCAAGCGGTTCATGCGATAGACCTAAGGAATGCGGTTTTAAAAAGCCTGAGTCTTGGTCTACCGTATGGAGGGTAGCATCAAGAAGGGCGCCGTGATGTTCGGCGTCGGCGAAGAAGTGAGCATGGTTGGTGAGGAGAGGGAGTACGGAGTTGCACAAGTAACGGTTTAGGGCCAACGCAGTGTCGGATTCGAGGGCACGAGGCTGAAATGAGAGCACGGGATATTAATATTTAAGCAACTGCCGTACCGAGTCCATCATTGTAGCCGCACGGAGATCGGGAAGGAATGATTGTTCAAGGCACTGGAACAACATATCCTGATGATCTATCCCGTAGACACGGTCCAGGAAGAGCAACACACTTCCCTTATGATTTGGTAGAAGCCCAGGAAGCGGTCCGGAATCTTGAAAAAAAATAATTTTGGCTTGGTTTTTCACGTACGACACGATACTTATACAAAAATAAATGTTTTTGGCAATAATGCCCGCACCAATCACATGCAATTACACACCATATACACGATACGACGATCGGCCCACCCATCAGCATCCCTTGACGGATCGATGATTTCTTCCGACGTGGTGGTGGCACATCGTCGGGATATCGGTTTTTCGGTGGCATCTGTTTTTGTACGCTCTCTGCGGGCTCGTTGTCTTCGATCAAGCTCTTTGCCGAAGAATATATACTAGGAGCTTCATCTCCATCCCTTCTTGGGTCTTCAGGCACTGGTTCAAGACGCCCTCCATAAATCTTCCACAGATAAAAGTTTGTCGCGATTGCTGTCAGGTTTGATGAGGTTGGGGATGGTGTATATCGATCATTGAGGACAGCTAAATGGTGAGTGAGCACTCGAAAAGTTATTATTTTTAATAGTTAAATAGTATGACGGGATTTAGCAAACAGAGAACCCTTTTCCCGGGGTTTCCAAGATTATTCTTGAACGGCAAACTGGGATGTTAAGTGGAAATGCAAATACCGTTGAATTTCGACAACCTACCATCTGATGGGAGCGCGAGGTTAGGGATCGAGAATCGTAGTGACAAAATTTGCCCGAGATCATCAAGGGAAATCAGTGAGCGAAGGATGGCTCGAGCTCGAACCGAATCTCCTTTTCCGGCCTAAAAGTCTACGGTGTTTCAAGCGATCGAACAATGAAAGCTGGTAGCCGAAAACCTGCCTGAATAGATGACGGATCGGGCGCACATTTAGCGAGCAGATCCACAAGGGAAGAGTAGAAATCGAGGGTAGCTGCCCCGAGATCGAGGTAGTCTTCCCCCTCCGCTTCAGCCGAGGGGTATGATGGAACATCCCCGAGAAGGCCCGATCGGAGCATCATTGGATTGTTCTCTTCAGCCAACACCCGGATGTCTTCAGACAATGTGATGGCTTCTTTGAAGGCGGCGAACAAGCCTTGGCCTTCGCCTTTCAACGCCACTCCCAGACATTCTGGACGCCGGATGAGCAAGCGGATGACGAGATTCGCGTTTTCTTCCACATTTTCGCCATTAATCCAAACGCAGAAGCGGAAGAAATCGATGTAACGCTCTCCCTCCACTGGGTCCCAGCCGATGTCCGGATAACCCCGGGCCAATAGCTCGGAGTTGGGCTGAAGACCGCAGCGGCTGAGGTAGACGGCGATCTTGTCTAGTTCCTCTTCCTTCAACGCAAGAGCCAGCTCATTATTGTCCATGAATGTGGCATAGGCCAGATCCAACGGGACTGATCCCCTAAAATCAACATTTAGATTCAGGTGACTGTCAGCCTGACCTCAGGCTGGGTCGGGCCAACAGCATGGTGGCATTGTCGAGAAGGAATGAGAGATGCTCGAACATGGCCTTCTGATTTTGTCGCGACGTTCGACAGAAGTAGCACAGGAAACGAGAACAGGCTACAACCATTTCCGACGAATCCTAAAGTATCAATAAAATACCGAAATGTATATCCTAATTTATTTATATAGACCCCCACCTTCACCGGCTGTTTCTCCTTGCCATCATCTTCATGATCTGTCACAGCTCCTTGCTGGGCTGTCAGAATATTCATCATGATTGTCATCACGTTTTCGTGAACGGATAGTAACCTCATCAAGTCGGGGTGTTGGAAGAAGATGCGATTGTTCATCAATTTCCTAAGAAAGTCCTAGAAGTCATGAGGTAATCCCACCATAATCCGCGTTTCAAGATGACCTCTTCGGTTTGCTCGAATTGAATCGTAAGCAACTGTCGGATCTAAAAAATAATAAATGTTTGAACGTACCATGATGACAATACCTGTACAAGGTAGATGATGAAGTCCTGGACGTCAAGCGCATTCCGTTCATGGAATACATACGCTTGGGCCATGGCATCACGGAGTTCACGGACGCCAGAATACTGACGGAGGAGAAGGTGGAACATACGGCGGATGAGCTCTGGACTTTCGATGAAGGAGCTCATTGCCCAGCCCTTCAGCATGGCAACAATCATTCCCTTGAAGTTGTCAGTGCCACTGCGTAGGTTCCGGTCCCCTTGGGCGTTTTCAAGTGGTGGAGGGACTGATACCACAACGCGCGCTAGGGAGTCTACCCAAGAGCCGTCTTCAGCTGAAATCAGATGCATTTAAATCAAGTACATCGGGTATACCTTCAATAAGAGCCAATTCTTCTCCAGCCGCTTCCTCATCAGCATTTCCAATCTTGCTAACAAGCAACTCGCAGAATTCGCGAAGTTGGTCCTAAATGAGCTGAGATTGAGTGTCTGAACTGGTGGCACACCTGGAGATTTTCCGACATTGGGCACTGATCGTATTCTACCTCATCGTCGAGAAGTGCCTCTTTCTCTTCTTTCACCTGAAACTGCTTCCTTTCGTTTATGATATCTCAAGTTCCTTCATGCAACACCAGACCAATCCAGGACATTGGCTGACCCCCACTTTCATGGGCACAACCCCAAAAATCAACCATTCAAATGATACACGTGTAGCTTTTTGGGAAGGTACAGTAAACGCAAGCAACAGAATCCAAATGCAAAAAAGGAAAGTTCGTTACTGTTCCTTCCTAAAAGACGGAACACGGCGCGCATGCTCACCAGGATGGTTCGCCAGTAGGGAAGGCTAGCTTGTTTCTGAAAACCGTTCCGAGGGGATTATTGGTAGCAGGCAAACGAGGGGGATAGAAAACAGGCAACAGCCAGTAGCCGGAAAGCGCTTTGAATTATTTTTAAGGTGACGTTGCGATAGTAAAGGTTTCGGCAAGGCAAAGCGCGGTTTGGATGCTAACTCGGGTCCGATAATTGCACATGCAAATACCTTGCATTTCAGCAGCCTGAACATTTGTTCTTTAGGCGGGCATCGGAATTCCTTGGTGCGTCGGGCAGCTTCGGCTGGTGGCATGTCGGTTTGTTTGATTTCGACATAACTAAAACATTGTTGGGCTTGTAATTTAGCGAATGGTGCGAAGCGCTTGTCTAATACTCACCGTCGACATTGATCTTGTTGCAAGTCTCCAACGTAGCCAGCAGAAAACCCGATCAGACTTTCGATCCTATAACAATATCTACGTTTCCTTTTACAGTATACCTATGGCGGAGCTGCACGTCGCAGAGATGGTCAAGAATATTGACCAACTGCAGCTTGACACCTTCGGCCAAGTCGATTTCAGTCAGTCCCTGAATTCAGAAAACGCTGGATGATTTTGATGCCCATACTTTTTGGGTGGTTCCGGCTTCCCAGGCTTCATCAAAGTAGCCGGGGTGAACTAGTTTCAGAAGAATCTCCATTTCATCGTCGCCGAAAAGACCGATGACTAGCATTGCATCGAACAGCTTGAGGAGGGGTTCAAAGTGGTGTAGGTTGTCACCGCCAATCAGATCGCTAAATAGGGAATTTTAAAGTCTGACAAATCTTTTAAAATCTTTACAGTATTTCAGGCTTCCGTCCGTTTAACCCCTTGTTTTATAAAATTACCGGCAATTCATGACTGCATGTTCCGTTGCGCTTCGAAGTGCCGTTATCACGTGGTTCTTCAGCGCATCGAGGTTGATTTGTGGAGCCATTAGCTTCATCTCGTCGTCCCTGGTGACATTTGTCTAAAGATTATAAGTATCTTTGGAATTGCATTACTTACCTTGACAGGCTCAGACACCATCACTGGGAGCATACTAACGGGTTGACCCATAATGTGTGGGTATCGGACCTCTACATCCGATTCGTATACGTTCCGGGTTTCCAGTTCTTTTACAAGAGGAATTACGTATTCCTAAAAAATATATTAAAGGAAGAAACGAGCCGCCGCTTCGAAGCTTGATTTATTACCTTCGCAAAGCTTTCCCGGGCCGAGGTATTTGATTGCAGATGGAGGGCAATGAGAAGCTCGTGGAAACCCTGTCGCATTGGACCCGATAAATAGTGACTCTTCACGGCATACATAATCTATAGAAACTGCTTTTAAGGAATGTCCCCTGTTTTAACCTGATCCTCGTCAACGTGCGTACAGAGGATGTGCGCGACTTTTTGGTTTCCGTGAGCGGCCAGTTTACAGTAGAGGCTCATCGTCTAAATAACTCTGCGTGGGTGTAGCTGCTTGATTCAGACCTGTCTGTGGAAATCGAGCAATTCTGGCAGTTCGATCATCTCTAGAATGTCAAATGATAGGTCTTTTTCTGGTACGTAGACTGCTTGGATACGGACCGGGTCGTTGCATAGTACAGACCATCCTAAAATGTCTAGATTGAGCCGGATGGATGGACGAATACCTCTAACGTCGCTGAGCTTGAGGGCCGTTGTTCGAAGCATCTCGTTGGGGACACGGCCCCAGTAGACTGGAGATAGACGCTCGATTGTCAAGCTTAAAAATAAAGATGGACGTGGGATTGTGGAAGTTGTAAAATATCAGAGTTACCGGAGTGGCACGAATTTTCTGTGGCTCGGACTCACCGTGGTGGGCACGAAGGCAACAACGACTTTTGAGACGACTTGAACAGGGCAGCTGAGAGAGGGAACGTATTCTAAACAAACGTTTAATATGGTGGACGTATTAACCGCTAACCTTAACACGGCCGAGCTCAAACTGCAACACTTCCTGAGCCGTTGGTGTGACAAAAGCGGCAGGAAATAGCATTGCGCCGGGCTCGAGCTAAAAAATGGACGTTTTTAAGTGACGATGGGGAGCTAACCTTGAAACGATGACCCGTCTCTTGACCGCCGACTTGGAAGGTCAATTCTCCGATGGAAGTGTCGACGACGCAACCCACCAGAGTTCCCGATACCTAAAAATACTCGTAACAAGGACAGGAGTTCAGCGACAAGACGTGGACATCCTGGATCATTTTTGATCCCCTCAGAGCGCAAAAATTAACCCAAAAATTTGAATACAGCGGACGCCAACAAAACAGCGGGATTGTTATAATAGTAGAAGTGCGATGGTCTGGGGGAAATTGAGGTGCATTTTAAGGATATCAGGGGGACCATTTAAGGAATGGGGGTGCAAGGCTAGACCTTGACTGAAGCGGCTTCCAGCTGAAAATAGTGGACCTCAGAACTCTAGAAGGTGTTGCCCACCTTGGTGTTGCCAGCATCAGAGACGGTCTGTAGGAGCTCGGAGACGTTCAGCATATAACAGCTCCGGAATTCGGCACTAAATGGAATAGCATGTTATGGATTTTCAGTGTCGCGAAGTTATATTTTTATTAGCCGACCTATCAACCGTAGTTCCATGATGGTCCATCTCACTGTAGCGACATTTTCGGACTCCTTCATGGCCGTCAAAGGTCTCCGAGTAGTAATGGTATTGTGGAGTTACCCAGCCGACCCAAACGTTTGCCGGATCTTGTCCCGGGAAGATCCGAATACCGTAGTAGTACTCGTCAACCTAAAAATTAACTCATACCAACTTAACCCTTGACCCTAAAAACCTTTTCAGCAAAAGCCAGCATCGCAGCCGAGTCATCTTCTGCCAAAATGCTGTCAGGCAGCTTCTCAAGCCCGATAGTCGACACTCGCTTCTCGTCCTAAATCAATTGCCACGTTGTTTTTTTGAATAGCTTATCAACTAAATTAACTTTTTCGTCTTTTCTCCATTTATACTATCACATTTACAACATCAAATATACAACACTTGATTCACCTTTGACTGTGTCAATTTTTCTAGTTTACTTTCCACAATTGCTACCAATGAATTCTGAATAAAAACAGTAAAAAATACCCTCTCCAACACAAACCTTTTTGTCTTTCTTGCCCTTTTTCTTGTCCTTTTTGATGGTGGGCTGTCTTCCAGGGCCCGAGACCAGCATATCGGGGTGGATGTTTGATGTTTGTCCAGAGACGGCTAAACCCTTTTTCTGAACCCTAAGTTTTTCTTACCCAGAACATCCTTTCCACCGGATGCAGAAGATTGGGGCAGATCACTGATCGAGCCAGTGTCAAAGCTGCGAGAGTTGGTCTTCTCATTTTTGAACGACGTTTGTCGGCTTTCGTCTTTTCCTCTGAAAGACAAAATGCTAAAGAATCCGGGGCCAGAGACATACTTTTTGCGGCTTTGGCTTGAGTCCCTGAAGCGAGCAAAAATTCCGCCCTTCTTGCCCTCCTTCATTCGGTCACGATCAAGTTCCTAAGGAGGAAATGGAATCTCTCGTATCTGGCTTACCTTGAGGTGCTCCTCAGCCGCTAGCCTCTCCTCTGGGGAGTATTCCATCATCGACTGGCTGAAAAGAACAGAATAAAAGGTCTGACTGTGAAAAAATTGTTAAGAAACTTATTACGAGCTCGAGCAAGCGGTGCCGGGACTATGCGCGTGAAATTTCGACAGTATTCAAGGGGTTAGGTCGAAAATTTCGTCAGCGTATAGTCGGGGAACCGACAACGACGGGATTGAGGGTACAAATGCCACGACACGGATGCAGGGGGTACGGTAGTATGTAGACAACGTAACGCTGGGCAAATTTTGAATTTCAAAAGTTAGGCTTTCGCGATAGGCTTTTCAAATGCAGACTTTTCAAAAATGGATTTAACAATTAATAGCCGCGCCATTATTCTTATTTACTTTTTTTTCACTACCATATCCCAATTTGGACAACACGGACAGACGGCGACCTGACGATGCTGGAGAAGGGATCAGCCTCTCCATCAATTCGCAACCATGTCAGCAGACTGTCATCAACCGTCGGATGTAGACCAAAGTGTAGAAGGGTAAGCACACGTCGCCGTTGACTACTATATTCAAAGGGAAAACATCGATCAATCGCATTCCGTTAAAAAGGAGAGGGTAGGGCTTGCTAACCCGCCCCTAAATTCAGGGCTAGTTCGTTATTTCGTTCCAGTAAAGGGATGAGTGAAAATCAATCATTTTCGGTTCTGGTTCGTTAGCGGGGGGGGTATTGGGGGAAGCCACGCCCACTCCTTTTGGTGGTCTCTTAAGAGTCCCTCTCTCCCTCCCCCCCCCCCCGCTAACGGACCAGAACCTCACTTTCAAAGAAACACACCCATTCATGTATTTATCTTTTCATATCTTTCTATTTCTCGCCCTACGGATTGCACTCTAAACAATGGAAAGTCAAAGGAGCACGGCAGCTGCGATTTTGGGGTAAGCATTGAAAAGTTGTGGGAAGGTGGTTAGCGGGGGTGATAGTGAAGGGAAGCAAGTAATGGAAAGTAAGTATAAACTATGAGATACTCACCGTACGGCAGCAACTTCATGAGCATGATCAGATTCGTAGGAGGTTGGTCTTGTTCGATGGCTAGAAGAGGCATCGTTCTCTTCGAGAGATCCCTGCTTGAAGACGCCGCCGAGGACTCGGGAAAGCGTTCGCTAAAATAATTTAATCATGTTTACGTTACATTGTGCCAACCTTTTTCTCGGCCGGCTGATCATCAAATTCTTTGGGAATTTGCGGGGCTTTGATTCCAGAGATGACGGAGAGGGATCGGGATGCCTTATAGTCCCTCATTTGCCGGAGCAACGCTTCCTTGTCCCTGAATAATTTTGTATTACGTTCAAAGGTGTAGGCGTACTTATTTCGTACAAATGTGTCTGAACACTTGACGGGAAGGGAAAGCCGGAAGAATTCCATCGCCGATTTTTCGAGGGCAGACCCTTCGCTGGCGGTTAGCTAAATGGAGATCATAGTTAATCGTTAGTTGCAGTACTTTTTGGGTAATCTTCAAGCATGGCGGGCTGTTTCCGGTAGCCGGAATTCGGTTGACCTGAAAATTATTTAGTTACCCATTGTGCAACTACACCAACCTCAAGCTGCGTGCCAGACTGCCCGACCAATTCTTCAAACCGTGCCAATTGCTTTCCAAACCAAAGCGGCATTTGTCGATACATGTTGACGCAAAACGGTTCGTATCTTGAATTCAGATAATTTCCGAGATGCTAATTGGGTCATACCCTTCCTGAAGACCGCATGTGGTGAAGAATTTAAGAGAGTTGCTGTCTTGGCCAAAATTCAGTCGGCCTAACTGGCCGGATCCAAGAGTCATGGCTGGGACAAGACCTTCTCCACACATTACGTTATCGAAAGCCATTTCAGAACCGGAGGGATCCTATAATTTTAAATTTGTCATATAAATAAGGGAAAACAACAGAAATGAGGAAAAGTAGCAAAAAGCGCCTACCAGCAGCAGTTCACCGTTCAACGAAAATGAGATCGTCCTATCGTTGAGATCCAGGAAGCAACCGACCACGTCTTTGACCTTCCATTCTCGGCCATAAGCCTCGGCACCCTGATGCCATTTCCGGCCAAGGTAACTAAGGAAATATTCCAAAGCCTGTACTACCTATACATACCCATCAAATGCATAGCTCCGATCATCGAGCCCGATCTGCTTGTCGGGAGAAGCGGCAATATCCATCCAGCCAATCTTCATGAATCCTTCGGCCAAGACCTCGAACTCGAAATACCTGGGATTGAGCAAGGTAATAAAAATGCATTGTTTTTCACCATTTTCCACTTGTGACGGCATATGTGGCCTCGGCTCTGTAGGTACGAGTGTGGTCTCGACGGGCTTGTTCGGCCTTTTCAGCCACTATAATCGAAAATCATCGGTTTTTAAGGGTTTCCTTACTTTCATCGTGCTCATGCGCCGGCTGCTCCAGGAATATTCCGAGGAGCTGGAGGGCGCGGATGTTTTCAGCGGCCGATTCTCTGTAATAGAATTGTTAATTGAAATTTTTGCATAGTCATTTAGGACGGGAGATACCTACCGATTGGCTTCTTTAATACGACTGTCCACGTTTTCATATGGGACAAGGTGAGGCGATCGTTTTTGGGTGGCGTCAACAAACTAAAAAACTCTCTTTATTAATGTTTATTGTTAATTAATACAACAGTACAGCAGGCATTTTACTTGATTTTACTTATTTTACTCATTTTGCATTACATTTCAGGCGTAGACTAACCTCATTCATTCCGAATGTCCACCCACGCCTAATCTTCTCGCGTGCCCAGACATTGTGCGTGTTTCTAGCTAGTGCCTAGAAAATCGTAAATTAGATATTTTTATCTACTAAACCTCTATCAAGGGATCCATTTCCTTGGGGAGCTGGATCTCGTGGGTATCGAGTGGTTGAGGCTTGAAGCCATTGCCTTGTTGGTAGCTAAATAGGTATTATATTGAAAATAGTCACAGGCCAAGCTAAACTATAGTAAGCAAACTCTTTGTTGCCTACTTGGGAGGCAGTCGAACAGGCCGTAGACGACAAGGAGGATCATCCTTGATCAAATGGTATCCTAGCGCTTCTATCGCCTTCAGCGTATCCGTTGCCAAATTGATGTTGTACTGAAATTGCATCAATTCAAAGAAATTTGATAGCAACCTACCAGCTTCTCGCTCTGTGGCAATTTGTCAAATGGTGTAAGGCAAGGGTGTTTTCTAAAAAAACGCGCGTCATACCACCCACGGTAACCGATACCTTGAGCTCTCGCTTCTCGCCTCACCCCACTCCCAACCAAGCTCGATTTTGCGCATCGCCCACAGCTCGTGCAGATTTTCAGCAAATTGCTGTTGGATCTCGACAGCAAAGTGTGGGAGTTGCACCTATAGCTAAATTTAGCAAGTTAATTATTTCCCACCATCCCAATTTCGACAGGTCTCGGGACGAATGGGTCGAAACTGAGCATCGTCGATGGGCCGCAGTAGACGTTTTTCGGCAAATCACCAAACGACAGGCATTCTGCGATTTTTAGCTCGCCTGTAGGGAAAGAATACATAACAACGTTTAGAAATCACCAGAAACAGCTTCAACAACTGCCGAAAAACTTGACGGTGGTCCAAACCGGAGTCGTCCTTGGTCACCACCAAAGATGAAACGACAACTAAACGCAGGCCAATACTGTTAGCCTATAATTTCTCACGTACCTGACTTTCGCGCTGAGTGACATCACCGGAAAGAAGAACCCATCAACGTTAAAATTTCGGTAATGCCCGGTTGTCTCGCGGCCATTCAACGTAAAACGAATTTCTGGGACAGTGAGGTCGAGAGCGCATCCAACGACGTCTCCTTTTCTCAATCGCCTTGTTCCGATCTTCCGGCCTTTTCCGGCGAAGAAAATCGATTTTCCGTCGAAACCGTAGGAGTAGAAATCATCACCGATTCCATTACAGCCCCATCTGAACGTGAGTGTCTTTTAATTTTCATGGATATCTTACTTGTCGCCACTCCCCGGGAAAGGTTTGAAGCCGTTCGAGTTGGCCCATCCGATTCTAAGGTAGGGGACTTCTTTTGTCATTTGTTCGATGTGTTCAATCTGGAATCAAAAAAGGTATTGTGAGAAGTCTAATCTAAAAATATTTAGAAAAGCTCGAGACTAACCTCGCATTCAAAATACCATTTTCTGAACAATGCTGACCCTTCAACAACGCCCACCAACACGTTTGGCATCATGCTAAAAATTAAAATAAATCACGATTAATCGGACCATAGGCAAAGGTCATAGAAGTCAATCCCTACCTGCTGACATGGTCTCGCATAGCTGTTTGCAATAACAGATCCTTTCCAGGCAACAAAAATTGAGCAATCAGATTCTGCGACGAACGCACAGCCATCCCGTTTCCTTCGCATAACGATGACAGCACGTCCAACACCTTTAAAAAGATATTCTAGCGCCAATATTGGCCGCTTACCCTAGGTTGCCGTCCCACTTTCTCGAGCAGCGAAATAACAGAGCGGATATGCCCCTCGTTGATCATATTCAACGCTTCTGGAGATTCAGTGAGTACACAATAGAGCACATCAAGAATTCCTTCCGCGGATTGTGGATTAGACAATCGACCGAAAAGCCAATCCAAGCGTTGGGCAGCTGCGAATTGAGCGCAGTTATAATGGTTTCCCTTGATCATCGTCGCCACTAGAGAGTAGAGATACGTTGAGATTTGTTCCCATCGTTCGTGGGTCTCCTCTCCAATCAACCCAGCAAAATCGGGCAGAGCCTCCATTTGCGAGAACTTGTCGATGGTGTCGAGAATCATGTTGAGGACGCCTTCCTCTTGGAATAGATCTTGGCGCGAACGCAGGGCGCGTAGGTGGAGTTGCTTTTCCTCGAATTCTAAATAAAGGCAAGTAAAATGTGTGATTTTCTACTTACCGAAGTCCTCATCGGGCTGTGCAAAGTACTGTATCAAATCCTCCATCAGTTTCAACACCTCATTCAAATCGACACGTATCCAATCCGGCGATTGATTGCCTTGGGTTTGTAATGCCTCAATGCCCTTCAGGAACTTGTTGAGCACCGACGAACATTTTCTGATGACCCGTGCGGATTTGCTCTCTTCTTCGAGGGCTGTGTAAAGGATGTAGCAATCATCCATATGCCCTTCTTGTTGTGCTACAGCTTTCTTTTCTTCCACTTTTCCGAGACCCTTCTTTGTGACCTCGCTTGTCTGGTAGGACAACCAAGCATTGGTTTTTAAATGCTTGATGAAGACATCTGTTTCCCCGTATCGGATTGATGGAGGTCCCATTCCTTCTTCTTCCTTTTCATCTTGAACGATCTTCTTGGAGTCTTTATTCTGGAACATGATGAAAGCCGTCAAGTCGAAGTCGGCTTTTTCTTTGTGGTGGAGTTGTACGAGGTTATCGATCACTCCCAAATACCTAGAAAATCATGAATTCATGCCTTTTTGGAATGAACTGACCTTCCGGAAGTGATATGTCTGATGCGGAAGTTCTGTTCCCATCCAACCAGTGCTCCATGCCACTTCATTCGACAGAGCTCCATTCTCCACAAGCTTCGAGCCTGCGTGACGGAGCTGCCGCCCTCGTAGATGACCATGTTGTGTTGGGGATGTTCACTCCAGTTCTCCGGGATGGTGAGACACTCGTCATTACCGTGGAAGAAGCGGACGACGTCATTGCCGAAGAGGTATCCTATACCCTTGATTTTAGACTGAGCTTCGGAACTAACCCATATTCCTTGTGCGGATGCTTCCGGCGCTGACGGGGCAGATATTCCACAGGGTCTGATGGAAGGAAGCGATCACCATGTAGCCTTTATTGTAAGCCATGTGCTAAAAAATATTGAAAATTTTTGTTTAATTTTATTTTCTTACCAAATATCGTTCCGTCGCGACAGAGACGAGAATCACATCGTCGCCTACGCGAACCTAACAAAGGTCCGTTTTTAAAGGGTTTGTGAAGCCATGTTGTACCTTCTCTCCCTCGCTCCTCTGCTTGGATGCAGGATGAATCGTCCACCAACTGGCTTCTCCTAAATTCATTTGATAAATTGCAAGTAACAATTAAACGGACCCTCGTTCGTTTCCTGCACACCGACATCGAAAGCAAGCTTGTCGTTCGACGAGCAAGAGGAAAGGCAAGCCAAGTACTGAAAACAAGTTTAAGTTTTTGGAGCGGTGGCTACCATTTCGGACTGAACGTGCTTGAGCTGGACAGCATGGCCGTAGAGTAGGGTTTTGTGACCACCCGCACCGCCAGCTGTCGTTTTCTAAAGTATTGCTTAAAATGGGAGGACAGAGAGAGCGGGAGAGGAGAGAGAGAGCAGGAGAGAGGGGAGAGTGAGAGTGAGAGATAGTGAGAAAGAGGGGGAGAGAGAGAGAGCAGGAGAGAGGGGAGAGTGAGAGAGTGAGATAGAGGGGAAGAGAGAGAGAGCAAAAGAGAGCGAGAGAGTGAGAGTGAGTGAACGAGAGTGCGAAGGGGGGAGAGTTCGAGAGGGGAGAGTGAGTGAGGGAGTGAGAGAGAGGAGTGAGTTAGAGAGAGGGGAGAGTGAGAGAGTAAGAGTGAGGGAGAGAGTGAGCGAGGGAGAGTGAGAGAGCGCGAGATATAGCGAGATACCACTTACATGATCGGAATCTGCGCTCATCATCTCCTGTAAGGCGCGCATCGAGAGAGCGTTGTCGATGTACAACATGCACATCGCGATATCCGGCGGAATATCCTGAAATTTCGCCCTAATAAACTGCGCTTCAAAAGCGTACCTTGTCGGAGACGTTCTCGAGTGTGCACATCCGATTTCCGAACCCTTCCGTGCACAGACACACGCGCTCGCTGCCCAGGACGCCATCTCGATTGTGGGAGGTGAGGCAGGAGAGGGCAACGATGTCTCCCTAAATTATATAGTAATTAGTGTTATATTACTATTTATAACGTAGGTTTAATTTCCGACTTACTTGCTGCTACAAAAACCACTCAGGATGCTAATTGAGATATAGAAATTTCAAGATGTTAATTTCGTATGTTTCAATTTTTTATATAGACTTGACTTTTGGAGACCTATGCAGAATCAAAAAAAATTCGTCAGAAGATACCTTGGTCTTATTTCAAAACCCCACCCAGTTGCAAACCGAGGATTATTTACACGATAGGCCCAGACGCCACTCTATTAATGCGCCCACCCTCTTAATATACGATAGATCCTCGGATAAGTCGATGGCATCCGGGTCGAGGTGTTCGACCATTCAGTCGACAGCATCCAGTGGCACCTAGTGCGTGGAAATTCAAAGGCGGGGGGAAGAGCGGCAGAATTCGAGGTGATTAGCCGATTTTCAGAGGAGGGGATAGACGTCAGAAAAATAGGATCGGCGGGCGGATGGAGGGAAATGAAATCAGGGAGGCTAGATGAAAAGAGCCTTCGCAGCGCCCGAAAGATATCACATAATGTTTGCCCTCAACCCTGACATGCAGCCCGTCTCGTCCACCCAGCGGTCTCACAATCAGTGAGTGGCCCCGGGTCCCACAGGTATTTTAGGGTTGGAAATTTTAGGGTAGCAGGGGACGTACTATATAGTCAAAACTGGATCCGGCGTCTGTACCTTAGCATACGATTTTTGTGACCAGATTCCAAAAGTTTCGGATCCAGGAGACATTTTTAGATTATAGGCAATGCGGAATTGGCTATCAGATCTCCTCGAGATGACTTATCAGGTCCTTACAAAGTGCTATTTTACTATTAAAATTAGGCTAGTCGGAATCCTAATATATATATAAAACACTAACGTCTGTATTCCGATGCGCCTTTTCATGCAAATTCCGTGACCGGAGACCAGTTATAGCAAATCTAAGACTATTCTTAGTTTAAGGGCGTTTAGGTGTGAAAAAATCGGCAAAATTAATGGCTAAAACTAGCTGCAACCACCGGAAGTGGCATAAGCCAAACAAAACAAGGTAAAAATTCGATTTTAGGTGCTTTTCCTGTTTTGCCAGGGGTTTTTAGGCAAATTGCGAGGCATAGATTTCACTGAAAAAAAATTTTTAATAAGACGATACTCGAAAATGAAGAGTAAAAGCATAGTAAAAAGTAGCAGAATGCAAATAGGTTGGCGGTGAGGCGTGTGATTCGAAAGGAGTGGAAGGTCCCCCCAAATGAATTAAAAGGCGGCGTGTGCCAGGGTGCAGGCTGAGGGGCTTCCGTTTTTAGACGGAGCCTGGGGGATGCTGTGAGCTGAGCGGAAGGGGCGGAAAAGTGGGCGGCGAGCCGTAGAATCGAATTCCCTTTGACGTTCCCACGGCTTCTCATCACCTCGACTTTTTGGTGGGTTTTGCTTTTAAGTGGGAGGTGGGTGGAATGTTTGGCGAAGGAAATTACGTCGATTTGGGGATACTTTTACGTAAGGATGGTTTGCAATATTGGGTTTATATGATTTCTACTTCATTAATTTATGTAAATCGCATCCCTAAAAAAATAGCAGGTGGTGTCCATGGTATTGCAACGGAATGCAAGCTAAGGAAAAGGGTGTAGGGTTGTGGGCGAGCGATACTCCTTGCATAGGCGATGAAAAAAGCAGCCTCCCCCACATCGACGAAGCCTTTTGATCCCGGGCCACAATGGGGCCACATTTGGGCCCTCTAGTAGGGTTCCCCACACCCTTGATTTCCATGCTGTCGATGGCCCCAATTTCAAAGAGTGCTTTTGGGTGGTTATTCTAGTTTTTTGAGATTTAATTTCCAAAGAGATAAGAATTATTAAAGGAATAAGTGAATCATAGCTATGGATTTTTTTGTGAGATAGTCCGCGACCAAAAAAAAGCGAGGGGTTCAGGCAAAAATTTTTCCACCGCCGTAGTTCATCTACCCCCACCCCCGTTAAGCAACAATTACCTAAAGAGTTACAAAGGGCTACGAACAACTATAAAACTGAAACCTGAATACAACCCTCGACCTCATCTCAAATTATAGCTACAATTTGCCATAACCCCCCGAAATAACCCTCATTTGACATCAACCAACCCCCAAGAACAACGCCCCTCCCCCGTCGGAATATTTATGGACTATGAATTCCGCCGTAGACTCGGCCTCCACCCTTCGTAGATCCCGGAAAGCCGCGTCCCCCAAAAAACAAAACCCGCATTTCGCCTCCTCAGGGCCCCGGGGGTGCCAAAATTTTAATCCAATGCCTTGTGAAAACAAGTGTTGAGCCGGGGGCCCGCCAAAAGTGATAAATGCCCCTATGGACTTTTGCCCTTCACAAAACGCAGAGAGAAAAAGAGCCACGGGGTCCTTGGGGAGGCGCCGAAATTCATAATTTTTGGTCTGGCTCGACGGGGAGCAATGTTGAGGAATGTGGAGGTTTTGAGGGGGTAAGGAATGTTCAGCGTTTTGAAATCAGTTAAAAGTATTGTATACAGTTTTGCTTGGTGAATATTGAAATTGATAAGCCAAAATTCATAGTGTGGAAATTCATATCGAATTTTCATTAGGCCTGAATTCGTAGTTTTTGGTTGTTTGTGCCAACGCAGATTGTGAAACACGGAAGGTATTCGGAATTTATAGACGTTGTAAGTAATTTAGCTTTTTAAAAAAATTTTACTTTTTGGAAACAAAAAATAAGAAGCAAAAAAGCTAAAAAAAAGTTTTTCTATTCAAACATTTTTGAATGTTACAGATCAACTTTGACGGAAGTAGGCCCAAGAGGAGGGGCCCGTTTTGGAATCTTTTTTGGTCGGCGCGAGAGACACGTAAGCAGCGTATCCATTTTCCGGAAAAATTCTGCCCAACGGCAGCCAAGGGGGGGGGGGGGGATGGGATTCAATTTTTGGGGTGGAGAAGGAGATATGAAAACTGCAGAGAATAAGAAGTGGGAAGGTTGATTGTAAGGAGGTAAGACAAATATTGGCAGTAATTTGCATTTAGTAATTTTTTTAAAAATTTTTAGCAGCATTTACAAGGGGTTTTCGTGGCAGGATTTCTTAAATTAGATAGTTTTGTCTCAAAAATTATTGCTTATATAGGAAAAAGTTCATTCAAGATGAAAATGTAGTTTTGCCTAAAATTAAACCCAAAATCGCAACAAATTCTAAAAAAGAACCACTAGGTGGTGGAAGTGAACCGAAAACTTGGGTTGGGGTCATTGCCACTGGGTGGGTGGGGAGGAAGAGAAAGAGAAGCAAGAAAAAGCAAGTGGAATAGCGGGGTGGAGAAGGGCCCAAATAGGGCCCATGGGATGGCTGTGGGGGTCCACTCCGTCCCACGGGGTCTCCCTATCTAATGAGTTCCTCCACCTCAGGGCTACTTTATACGCCATTGATAGCCGTATCTGTTTAACGTGGTGTTTTAGGAGTTCTAAGGGTAAAATTGGTGTTCACTTCCGGGAAATCGGGGGTATTTAAATCGGTACATAGATATAGATAATAGGCTTATTCTAATTCTGTGGATTTAAATTAAAAATAAGTATAAGATTTTGAAGTGCAGTCAAATTCAACATTTTCAGCAAATTAAATTATGAAATAAAAATTCATAAAATTAAAGACGGGTCTCAAAGTTAATAGAAGATCTAAGTTTGAGGTAAAGGTATCGAATTAAGCAAATTCGGGAAATTCGGGAAACATCAGAAATCCCTAATTTTAATTACTTTAATGCACCAGCAGCAAGTAGGTCGGAAAAACTAGTATAAATCATTTAGATACCAACCGTTCGTAGGAATGAGACGTCATCCTGCTCCCCTGAAGTCGATTCCTCCTTGTCGGTCATCCTTTCCTCTTACCCAGGCATAAGCCTAAAATTTTAATAGCCAAAATGACACTTATTTTATGCAAGGAAGACATGAAAACCTGGCAAAAAGGAGCATCAGATCGCTTAGAGCTCTTTTACAGCGTTGGGGCTCATTCCCACCTTAAAATTGAATTCTGATCTAGGGGAATCCCCCGATACAAAGAATCGATGCGTGTTCACAGCCGTTGTGGCCCAAGGGCCCAAAGAGCCACTCTCTCTCTCCCGTGTCTTTCTCCTTCTAGTTTAGTGTTCCTTCCCTTTCCCTATGGTATGGCCAGGCAATGCTGTAAAGGAGCCCAAGCCAGCCCAGACTCCCCGAAAAATTGAGCCGGATGTTGGCCTCCTGTGTCTCTGGATTGACTAGAAGTTCCCTGAACTCTCCTTCTTTTCGGTACTATCTAGGTAAGGAAATCAGCTGGGATCACTTTGGACTCATTTCCGGTAGAAGGGTCGGTTACGGTAATCATATAAAATCGGTAATCTGGTTATTTTCCGAGATGCTGTGTGGAATCATTATAAAGCAAATTCAATCTAATGTTTGGGCCAGAAAAGGAAATGACTCGTTTTTTCGTCTTTCGTCAGAAAATGATCAAGAATCGAGTGAATTGCAAAGCCCTTTCATTCTAAAGACAAAGAATCCAAAAAACTAGCGCAAAAAGTGACCGCTTCGATGGGGTCATGGGCCCACATTTTAATGACACAATTAAGAGTAGAATCAAAAATTTAATTAGCGGGATGGGCGAGAGAGATCGCGCGAGAGATACAGAGAAAGAACGGCAACGCAAGGGCCATCGGCAAGCAGCATTCTACAAACAAAGAATGAAGGGTGAAATAGAAGGTAGGAATGAAAGACGATACGGCACAAAGAATGCGGGTATGCTGAGGGGGGATAGGAAGGGCCATAGCCGGGCCAGGTTCCCTTCTAATTTATGCAGCAACCGGAATTGGGAATGACAGACGCTATCCTTTTAGGTGACGGGCAATGGAGAAGGAATTGAAGGAGATGAAAGCACGCATTCTAACACGAATTATGTAGTAAAGATGTACGGAAAGCGTTTTTCTTTGATGATTTACATTTCGTAATTGAATTGAAGTTGAAAGGGACGAAAAAATAGGAAAAATGCAAAATGCACCGTTTAACAAAATAGATGCCTTCCTCTTTTATGCGAATTTGCATGTTAACTGCTTATTTCAGGTTGAAAATACGTGGTTTTTAGGTAGAGTTTAATATTGAGAGAGGGGAGAGAGCAGGAGAGAGAGAGAGAGAGAGATAAATGGATATATGGATAAAGGGGGAGAGAGAGCGAGAGAGAGAGAGTGAGAGAGAGAAATGGATATATGGATAGAGGGGGGAGAGAGAGCGAGAGAGAGAGTGAGAGAGAAATGGATATATGGATAAAAGAGAGAGAGGGAGACAGAGTGAGGGAGTGAGAGAGAAATGGATATATGGATAAAAGCGAGAGTGGGAGACAGAGTGAGGGAGTGAGAGAGAGAAATGGATATATGGATAAAGGGGGAGAGAGAGCGAGAGAGAGATAAATCATTTTGTTTTTATGTCGTGAGCTTTCATTGAAAAAATCGGCACGATCCAGGTCTTCTCAAACGACTTCAAAGCTGAGCAAAATACGAGACGCAACTGGCGCACCGCATTTTTCCAAATTTCAGAAGCCTTTAATTCTAGCGAAATCCTATAAAAAATTAAAGATGGCAGGCACTCACAACTAAATTGTATGAGAAACAGACTATCCCTACCCCCGGCGACCAGCACCGGAAATTCAATCCAATTTCCGGTGCAAAAATTGTTAGTAAAAATAAACTGCCAGCGACATATTGACACATTTGACGGCCGCTGCACGAAATGACAAATTGTGCAATTAGTGTCCCCGGAAGGAAAGAGACCCGTTTTGGGCCCGTCGGTGGGGCACAAGAAAACGCGGGCCGGCTTTTGCCTGGGCCGGTCACTTTGTAATAGGTGGACTAGAAGAAGGAGAAAGAGAAGAGAAAGGAGGGTAGGGGTTTAGAATCGAGACCAGCAGAAAAGCCGAAAAGAGGGTGGGGTGTGGTTGGGAGGGCTACATGGAGACAGTTGTCCCTGCCTAGGGGCCCTTTTGATGCCTTCATTTCACTGGGTCTCGCTTTCTGTGGGATATTTCGCCTTATTTCTCATGCCAGCCACACCTTTCCCGTGGGGGTCCCCACTACACCATTCCGCGATACTACTTGAGACACCTGGGTATGGGGGAATGACATTTTGGAGTTAATGATGGATGAAGGAATGGTGCGGAAAATGGTATTAAAGGGACAATGCAACGCTATGGATTTCCAGGATATTTATCCGCGACACACAACGCGCCAAATCCTTCCATTGCGTACGGTGTTGCGAACGTTTCGCTGCGCGTGCGTGCGTTACGTGTCACATCACGGACGGATTTACCGCACCCGCGGCACGGAACGCGCAACACTCTTCCGTCGCGTAACGCGTTGCGGCACGTCTGGATCACAGAGCGCCGGTTGCACGTCGCATGAACTATTTATTTTTACTGATCCGCGACACGCGACGCACCGTCTGCTTTAATTGCGTACGACGTTGCGACCGTTTGGCGTCTGGAAAGCTGTAGGTGCGTTATATTTCGCGGGACCTACGGTTTACGGTATCCGTGACAAGCAACGCGCAACACGCAACGCGTTGCAGGTTTGCAGGACCGAGCGCGCGTTGCGTGTCGCATGAACTATTTATTTTTCCCGCGCGTTACGTGTCGCTACATCGTCCAACTATATCTAGAAAGCATCGTAAAAAATTCAAAACCCTTTTGATTTTCCTTCTATTAATGTGATATTCTGCTTTTTTCAAGGCGTCTCTGACGCAATATTTATTTTTTTAGCTGTTTTGGCGATATTTACAGTACAAACTATATTGGGGAATGGAGAGGACCCGGATTCAGGGAATAACAAAGCGAGTTTTTCCCGATCTACGGGCACATTTTTCGGCACGAGTTGTAGTCGGGGAAGTTATTTTCGTTGCCCATCGAGCCGTAGTAGGAGAATCGCATGCAGACCTGGAATTATAGATTTTTATGGTATTGAAATAGGTATATTAATTAAGGCCCATTTTTACCTTGTATTGGGTGGAGTAGAAATAGCGATCGCTTTTGCCTGGGCCGGATACAGCGAATTTTCCAGCATCATAATCCAAGTTGCAAACGTAGTCTGTAAATAGGTAAAATATAACAGATACAACAGACTTAAAGTTACCTTTCTTGGCGCAACAATACCCCCCGGTACAGTCAAAACCGTTTGCAGCCCCACAATCAGCAGCTGAGCTACAGTTCTTGGGCGTCAAGTGGTCCGTGGCGTAAGTGGCCTTGCAGGCGTCTTTAAAATAAAAAGTTCTCGGCCTCCGGAAACGATATACCTTTTAACGGATTAGGTTTTTGGGCGTCATGGAGGGTTTTGGCTCCGGCTCCATTAACGCAGAACTCCTTGCACTCCTTGGCGGAATCGAAACGGTTTCCGTTTCCGGCGCATCCTTTATATTGGAATGGTTGGCAGACACCTGAAAAAAAGAAATAGTTGTAATACTCGGAAAATTTTGTTATCACTATAGCATTAAGCAAGTCCTATCGTTCTCAAGGCTTACCTCGTGTTTTGTCAAAATAGAACTTCCGTCCTGGCGCTGCCCCATCACAATTACCATTACCGGTATCCCTGGCTGGTGAACAATCTTTATCAGATTGACCTACAAAATACACTATACTTAAAACCCTATAACTATTCTCTACCTGCCACAACAACAGCCAAAACAGCCACACACAGAATTGACCTCATCTCCCACGTCGTGCTGGGGGGTTAGTTTCAGCCGATCGGTCTCTACTCCTTAACTTATATACACGTTTTCGAACTCGTTCCTCAAACACACTGCCGAAGAGATCTGTTTGCGGGGGGTGGGTCCCTTTTAAAATGGTCCCTTGGCTGGGGGCCCTCTTCGAAAGGGCCCAGGACACAATGGCAGTTCCCACCCCAACAAACGCTGCCCACACCAACAGTCTCGAATTTTTTGGGTCAATAGAGAGTGTGAGGGCGTGTACAGTTGCTATAAATATTGTGAGGGTTCAGTTGGGGTTTCTTTACAACTCGTAATTTATTTAAAATTTTTATTAAAAAATAATGGGCTCTGAGAACCGCGACGCGGAATTCCAACCCTGCTCCGAACTAAACATTCAGGTGCTGGTTTCCGGTTTATGCTAATTGTTTTCTAACTAAAACGCTTACCACTATTTTCACAACAACTTTTTGAAACATAGAGTTAAAAAATCGGCAATAATAAATATAACATCGAAAAGAACTGATTTTAAACATCTAATAAGCATACCGTAATCTAGATACCATTTCGTGCCTAATGACGCCTTATTCATACCTTAAAATTCTTCCCCTAGCCCAGTATCCCAGGAAAAATGGCATAAACCCACCCCCATAAAAGAAATTTATTTTTATATCGATACTAAAGCATTATTTCGATTTAGCAATAGTCTAAAAATCCTCTAAGGCGACAAACTTTCCTACCAAAATTAATGAGAACAATGGCGTTCAAATGAAAAGCCGTCGTGGGCAATGAGAGCCAAAGGAGGAGGAGACTCGTTTATGTCAGAGGAAGCTATCACTTGCTTATACCCGGGGCCGTGACAGACAATTCGACATACATCGACTGATAGAGATGATAGAGAAAGGCCATTTCCCCACACCCTGATATTTGTTGAGAACCTATTTTTTTGGGGGATGCGATGCGGGGAAGCCGGGTTTGGGGTTGGGGATAAACAGCGCGCAGGAAGGGTGTTGGTGAGATTTTTTGTTGAAATTTTTGGAAAGGCTTAGACTTAGGCTCCGGATTAGGCTTAAGCATAGGCTTAGTTTAGATTAGACTTAGGATAGGCTTAGGTTTCGACTTCGGCTCCGACTTTGACTTAGGCTTAGGCTTTAGGCGGAGGCTCAGGCTTAGGCTTAAGCTTCGACGTAGGTTTAGGTTAAGCTTAGGCTAGGCTTAGGCTTAGGCTTAGGTTTAGGCTTGCCAGGCTTGGGTTTAGGCGTGGGCTTAGGCTCAGGCTTGGGCTTAGGCTTAAGCTTCGACGTAGGCTTAGGTTTATGGTTAGATTTAGGCTTTGACTTCGGCTCCGACTTTCGCTGTGGCTTAGGTGTAGGCTTAGTCCTAGGCTTCGACTTACTAGGGAGGTATCTGAACTCGGCATCGAACTTTGAGAAGTCAGATACACCATTCGACGCGCCTTGTCGAGGGGATTCCAAATATGTAGTAAAATCAACCAGAGCCTATAACGATAAAAAGTTATGAGCATTTTAAGTTTTGCAGCGAAAACCGCCGCGGCGATATGAGCCCCTCCCAGCGCACCCTGTTCATCGGCCCCGTGGCCTAGTGGTGTGCGCATGGGTCTCCGGCCTGTATGACCAGGGTTCGGATCCACTCACGATTTTTATTTTTTGCTTTTTGACCAAAACCTACTTTTTGCATTTCCAAACTCGGGAATAAGTTTTTCTTGACTGTGTGACCCCTAAAAGGCACCAGCGATGATAAAATTACCTCCGGCAACAAGACCAGGGTTGGACGCTCTCTATATCAAAGTTAGCAAAATCATCAAAAACCGCCCTTTTAAGACTCTGTACGACTTCGAAGAATGTAATTTGTCGAAAACAGAACAGTACATCTTGATCAGCAGAAAATTCCCTTTCGAATGGGCTATCTTACATAGGCTTTACGCGAAATTCTCGAAACGTCTTCGGCAAGCTGGCCATACTCTACCCTTACGCCGCATTGCAAAAATATTTTTTACGGAAATTTTTGGCAGCCGTATGTAACATAGCTCATTTGAAAGAGCTTTCTTTGTTGAACAAGGAGCACTAATTAGTTTAGACTAAATTCCATTCCGCGGGATGATACAGGGTCTCAAAGATACTGTTTTTCACCATTTTGTCGATTTTGAATGCTCATAACTTTTACGGTTATACGCTCTGGTTGATTTTATTACATATTTGGAATCCCCCTCGACAAGGCGCGTCGAATGGTGTATCTGACTTCTTAAAGTTCGATGCCGAGTTCAGATACCTCCCTAGTTAGGCTTAGGCTTGAGCTTCTTCTGATTGACGCCTGATTGATTGACTTCAGCTACTTCAGCTTCAGGTTTTCGGCTTAAACTCACGTTGCCTTCACAGTTCCTTTAATCAAAACTCTACCCGGTGCTTTAATTCCCTTCCTGATCTTCAAATGACGATAAACCCCACCTGCTCATGCCAATAAAACTGGGCAGCAAATAGGCCGAACCCCATTTGATCTGAAACGGCGGAAAAGAGAGGGTAATTTCTTCTCTAAACAGTGACCGCGACAGACAGTTTCTGTCCTCGGCAATCCAACCCCACGTCGGCAAACACCCACCCACCAGCTCCCGTCTTTCGCTTATTTTTTGGTAATCTTTTAAAGGGGCTTGTGACTTGAAACTTGGTCATTGAGGCTCTTAGAAAACCTGTTCTGTACCTCCGATCTTCTCACTTTTACCGTGCGTACGAAATGTATGTAAAATCGACATTTACAGGTTCCAGATGATCGTCTACATTTTCGTCGCCGTCTTTATGCAAGTGGCCTTGTCAGGTTTGTGGTTTTTAAAAGCAACTTATATATGGAAATCAGAGTCCGACTGCACTTCGGCCCGAGACGCCGGCCATGCATGCTCGGATGGACCTCCAAAAAAGTTTTTCTACTTCGATAAACGGGCAAGTGAGTTCGGCACTTCAATTCATACGCCAGAATTTTTCCAGAAGTCTGCCAGCCGCTATTTTACAAAGGCTGTGGCGGCAATGCTAATCGATATGAAACCGCCGACGAGTGCAAGAAGACCTGCCTGGCGTCAACTGGAGAATCGTCGAATGATACGGAAATGAAGTTGGTGCTCAAGGCAGGACATGAGCAATGGACACACGGTAATGACCGGCAGTTTTTCGACCCGTATTCTGAAGTAAAAAGTTTAAAAATGTTATTTCAGCAACGAAATGCAACGCAACATTCCTCATTCCGAATCATAAATACACGGAATGTGGTAGCAGCCCATGCCCAGCAAATCATACTTGCAGCAATGGAGTCTGCTGCCCAGGTCGAGGTGAATTTATACCTGAATTTATAAAATAAAAATCCTGGTATTTCAGACTATGTCTGTTCCCTGCCCGACGACACGGGCGTGTTCGAGGACGGCGTCGAGGATAAGCCACGTTTTGGCTGGTCCGATGAGTGGAATACCTGTATTAGGTACCATTTTATACATAAAACCTTTTGCTTTTTCTTCAGGTTCTCCTACTACGGCGCCAACGGCAACTACAATAATTTCCCGAATTTCAACCTGTGCCAAAAATATTGTAACCCAAAGAATCGTCAATAGGGGCCGTTTTCTTGGCGGGTGTGCTATCTGTATACGAGTATGAATAAAGGTTGTTGCTTGTAAAATGGATGATCCAGACACTTTAATAATAATACCCTTTCTAAAGGAATTGGTAAGGCATAATTATGAGGTTTTCACGGTCACCATCCCTTACCCATCCCTTTAACCCTCCAAATGCGGGAGAAACTGGGGCTGGTCAGTGAGTGAAGGCTTTGCTGTGGGGAATACATAGGATGTGGATGCGGGGGACAATCAGCTCCCCCCGGCCAAGGTCATCCCTTCCATTCCCATTCCGACACGCTCCTCGAAACGGCCGCTCCCCACCAGGATCCGTCCGGAACAGCCATTCTAGGCGGGTCAGCGCAACGCCAACGGTCTCTCTCGCTCTCTCTGGCTCTATCTGGCCGCAATTCCGTATCCAGATTGAGAGTCAGGTCGGGCTCCGGCTGTCCCTATTCCATTCCTTCCTTCCAACCCCATATCCCCAGCCAGTTCAGCTGTTCCCCCCTCTTCAACAACCCGATCCTCCGATCGATCGGATTTGGAACAGGTTCTTCACCACCGCATCTCAATTTTCCATTTCACTAGCGGGATAGTCCCTCTAATTTAGAGGGTGGAGCGTTTTTAGCGGTTTTCAGCTTTTTATGGAAATAATTAAGGGTACTGGCTTGCGATTCCGCGCGCACACTCGGCTTACATTTTTTCAAGGGACCAGTTTGACGCGGCATCAGATGAGAGAAAACTAGGCACTCTCTCCCCCCTCTCTCTCTCTCTCTCTCTCTCTCTCTGTCTCTCCCTGTCTCTCTCGATCTCTCTCGATCTCTCTCGTTCTATCTGGCTGTCTCTCCCGCTCTCTCTCACGATTTTTGCATAGCGTAATCGGTTGGCTCTCCGTTATTGGTGGATTAGACTTGATCTACGCGATCTATCCTGTCCCTATAATTTCTTACATTTTAACGATTTACTTTCATTCAGTAGCCTCTAAATAGCGATTTCCGCTCTTGGAATTGAATTTTTATTCTCCCTTAAAAATCACTCAACCTAATTATCCTGCAAAATAAATTCTTCGCCTCCATCTTCATCAAAAAAACCCAATGTATATGAGATAAATGAACGTCACCCCTTTAACCCCAAGATTTTCCCCAACCAGATGGTCAATCCCCGATACAAATCTACACCCCCCCCCCCCCAACATCGTTGCTATCCCCCAAAATGCTAATATTTGGGTGCCGGCGGCTACTCTGCCTTCTCTGATTCTCTTGTATCTCCCTCATTTTCTTTCTATTCCCCGATAATGACCGGATTTGCCGGTGGTGCCCCCCCGATTTGGCATTCTCCCCCAAAATACCTATTGTCCTGTGGTGAGGGGAGGGGGGGGGGGGAGGAGGAGGAGGGGAAATGGCTTTTGGTGGGCCCTTCTCTAGAATCCAGGCGGTAGCCAATGTTTTTCGAGAGGATGTTATTCGATTAATGACGCACGGTCTACGGCTTTTAACGCTATAGGAAAAATTGAAAACAGAAAATTTTTATAGCGATATTCAGTACTGCTAATTGATTACATCGATATTTATGTCTTCCACTTGCCAGATTCCTTTAAGTCGAAATTTACCTGTACCAAAATATGACTGCCGCTTGTCGTAAAGGTTAAAAGAGCCGACCAATTTTTTTCAATTGGACGCAATACTTTTTAAATTTCGGCCTGATGAAATCTTGCGGTGAGAGCTCTGATGAAATCTTCATAATTCGACATAGTTTGACTTTAGTAAATCCCCAGCCTATATTTATTTACTATATTATGTTGCCCATCGGAAAATCAGGGTGGCGTGTATGAAACCAGATTCTGGCGGCTCATTAATGTGGATTGGGTGGGGAGGTAGGCTCCGCGGCAGGATGCGTCATTCTCGGAATGCTCTATTCACAACTAGTTTCACGGATTATTAGGGCCGGGTTGCGCGTTATGATTGATTTTTATTTCTGGTTTTATTATACGAAGACATTTTTCATCTAGAAAGAGTTATTTTTACATAGCTTACTATGAAAATTGGCATGATAACTAACAAGAACCATATCCGGTTTTGCTCGCTTCTTGAAAATCAATCCCTAGCTAACTAAGAATTTTTCCGCATGTTTTTTACATTGTTTTCCTTTATTCCAAATCCCAAGGAAAAACTAATCAGGAAACCACTTGTCCCCCCCATGTTGCCCGAATCTGAATCTGATATCCGGCGACTACCCGACCTCCTCATTTCCGGCTTTACCACTACAAGAACACGAAAAATTCTCCGTTTCCAATTTTACCAACTTTGCCCTCCCCTCAACCTCCTTCTCGCAAAAATTTGCGCGATTTGTGTGCATTCCCGCGGCGCGGAACGCCAGCCAAAATCACTCTGCATGCGCGTGTCTCTGCCCCGCCTTGTGTGTGGGTATTTTTTCCACAACGCTCCTGTATACAGTTGGCAGAGTCGCGCGGGTGGGTATGGGAGTCTCTGGGCGATCCTTCGGAGCGGAAACCCGTTCTCATCACACCCCTTTTCACGCGCACCGACCGATAGAAAGACGAACAAAAAGAAAGACAGACAAACACACAAACGGACAGACAGACAACTCACCGACAATCTCTCGGGTGAAAAGCTCTTTACGCACGATAGATACGCCTAAGAATCAAGCGGCTGCCGATTTGAGGATTTAATTATTTTTGGTTGGAGTTTGTGTTTTTGGCTTAGGCTTAGGCTTGGCTTGGGCTTAAGCTAACGCTTGGAATTCGGCTAGGCTTGAGCTTGGCCTTAGGCTTAGGCTTAGGCTTCGGTTTAGATCCCCATCCCGATGGTTCCAGGAGTTTTCGACTATTCCGCTAGGAATTTTTCAACACGATTCTACGAGCCACAAAAATATGCAACTGTATTTTTTGAATATGGACTAAAATTGTTAACGGCGTCAAAAATGTTTTACAAGTTTGAGAAAGTTCTGACAAAAATTTGAGTGTCAGATAATCAAGTAAATTTTTTTATGCAACGCTTAAATGATTTGATATTTTTTTGTTTTTTTCCGCATATAAATTAAAGCTTATGCCCCTGGCCATGCGTGACTTGATCCCGAAACCCATTCTTACATCGGCTTAAGCCGATCTCTGAAGAGCAACCCATCCCTGACCGGCTGTTCCTGCGTCCGCTGTAATCTCGCGCACTCGTAATCTGGCCATGCGCTTGGAATTGGGCCAAATTTCAGGTTTCTCTGCTAGCAATCTCGATTTTCGTTCAGTTCTTCATCCTTCAATAGTCTTCTTTCTTTTATAATATGTATTCTGTTCGTGATTAAGCTTGGTACCCTCTAAGCCAATAAAATGCTATTTTGGTCTCTCTCTCTCTCTCTCTCTCTTTCTCTCTCTTTTTCTCTCTCTCTCGCTCTCTCTCGCCCTTTAACTCTCCATATCGCTCTCTTTCTATCGCTCTCTCTCGCTCTCTCTCTCTCTCTCTCTCTCTCTCTCTCTCTTTCTCTATTCCTCATAACAGTTTTGTTCGTCTTGCCCTAAATCACCCCTAAATTACAGAAGATGTCGCGTAATGCCTGACCGCCAAATCTCAAGCGAGTCGACAAACGAAAGAACGCCCTGGACAAAGCGTATCGGACGGTTAGTCTTTTTTAGCCTTCATGTTTATGCCAAAAACTGGGTAAATCGATGGAAAGTTGGCGGGATCGGTGCCAGAATTTCATTTTACTGGACACTTGCTAGCTATTCCCATTAAAATAATGCTCATTTCATGGCGTAAGCTATTAAAAATCTATATAATAAAACTAGCAATTTTTTGACTTTTTAAGGGGTAGGAAAGTCTGCAACTTTGAAGCCCGAATTTTATGTGTAAATAAGCGCTCTTTGATGCTTGGAGTAGGATTTTTCGCATTCAATTTGGGGGCGCAAAGCCTTGACCCGAGGTTTAAAATTTTTTTCTTTAATTTACAAAATCTTTACTTCCGGGCTCCCTTAAGTAGACGAAAAGCACTAAAACTACAAACTCTAAGTTTACGATAACAATCTTTTTGCTTTCCAGATCGATTCTACGTCGATCAGCCAGCCTCCTCTCTGCGCGCTCGATTCTATCGGCGCTCGTCCGCAAAAACTCGGGCCAGCAAAGGTATGAGCATTGGCGATTTCGCAAATTCCGTTCGGCACCCTCAAAACAGAGAGGTCAATAGTGGATGGGAAATTACTGGGCACCTGTAGCCACCACCACCACTACCACCAACCACCCTCTCATCCACTCTAACCTCCTCGTTCTCTTTCCATTCCACCCATTACTCAACACCACAGGGTGGATAGAGGAGGATGGGTGGTGGCTGTCCGGTTCAAGGTCCCCTTTCCTTCATTCCTCTATAGCTAGGGCACTCTATAACTTCCCCCACAGGGCGCCACGCCCAGATCCCCGAAACCGCGTGTTTTTTTGGTTTGTCCTATAGAAATCTGGGGGTTGGGGTAATGATGAGCTTGATCACATAGGTCTGGGGATCAATAAGGAAAAGGGACGAAAAATAAGTTCATAGCTATTCAAGTAATATACATTAACATCCGAAGTGCAAAAATCGCCTGGTCTATTCTTAGGTTAAAGCTTATTCTGAGCGCTTCCGGCCGTTTCTAATGGATTTCTTACTAAATGGATGCACGAGACTTTCACAAAAACTTATTAAATCTTTAAAAAGCTGATTATGAATTATCTTGTCAATCTACAGTAATTTTGAAACCATTACGCGCCTCATTACATACAAAATATGCCCTTCAATCTTTCCCTCGAGATACCACCGGGATCTACCGATTGAATTTCCAAAAAGTATACGATTTTGTTAAACGACCTATTTTATATAGATATATCAATTTCTAAAATTTCCAGCGCGCGCAACGGTGAAGAAGGTCGAAAAGAGCAGCAACGCCGCGCTTCCTCGCTTGGCCTCAGCGCTTTACAGCGACAGGCTCGCCACATCAGACACAACTCGGAGACTGGCCCACC